GCTGCTTCATTAGGTTGCAGTGTGCTTCCTCATCAGGTCCGGTTGCTTTGCGTTCTCTTCCTTCGTTCTCCGCCGCTCTGGCTCTGTCTCAAGGGTAAGAAGAACAGAAGGTCAGGAGAGGTTGAGGGGGATGGGGGGGGACACCACAGACGCCATTTTATTGTTATGTCTGAAATTCCATTCACATCCAAGGAAACTATGGAAGCAGCTGGGTGCCGTATATCCCAGAATTCCTTGCATTTTTCGCAGTCTTTTAGGGAAGGGAAGTTTGTCGTTGCAAGTTGAGCTGTGAAATTGGTGCTGTGGTGTACAATCTCATTGTCTGTAATGATCGATCGTATAAAGCTGAAATATTTGGTTATTGATCAACCGTTTAAGTCATTTGTTGAACAAAATGCTCCTTAAATGCTGCTTTTCTCAATTATCTTGGAGTTTTTGAGGATTCTGAAGACACCATCTTCACTGTGGAAAACTGAGGAGAATTTTACTATTTTATGACATTTTAGAAAAGAAGCAATAATATAAATCAATTGGAAATGGAAAGTCATTAGTTGCATCCCTAGATAGCTACAGAAGAGAGGCAAAGTAGCTTCACACACACCTTAAGACACAACACAAGCTGCGGTAAAGATAATTTCACCATTTCACAATTTCCCAAGCATCAGCAGCCACCTGGGCTTTCACCTTCGTGTGATTGTGGTTCTGATTCACGCTGCTTCTGCTCTTTGCTGCCATTCTTCGCTTTCTGTTTCACCCTCATTCATTCCTACAAGCTCTGAATGAGTCAGTGTTGCTCATGAATAAAGAGAGTCGGGAAGAGCAGAGCTCTTACAGAGTGTGGAGGAGGCAGAGTGGAGACAACAGAGCAGTGCTGGTCCCTGAAGGTTAGATGTGAGAGGGATGTTGCTGAGCAAGCTTTATCACTCTGTTACACAGCAGGATCAGTCACCACAGACTGCAGCCAAACTCTTCTCCTTTCCTCTCCCTCTGTTTATTTATGTTCCATCACTCTCACTCCCCCTCTCAGATGTTATTCTGTTTCTTCCTACCTCATCTGTTTTTCTTTGCCTCCGCTTTCTCTCTCTGCTACTTTTCTCTAAGTTTATCCGGTTATATTTCTTTCTATATCCCGCTATATTGCCTTTCTCTTATTGTCGAGTGAATCTCCTCTTGCTCTGCCTGATACCACTGTGTCCATCCATCACAAACAGTGGAGCTGAAACACTAAATTGGGGTCAATGATGCACTATAAAACTCTAACCTTATCCCTCCTTCACCTTTACCTCTGATGCCTTTGCACCTCCCCTCTCACGTGTCCATGTGCATGCATGTAACTGCTCTTGTGTGTATTTAAGAGGGACTCACCATGGTTGACGTGGAAGTCAGAGTTGTAATTGAATCTTCTTTCCGACGCTCACACGTGTATTTGTTTCTCGGGGCTTGTGCAATAAACTTTTTCTCAAACCTCATTAATATCTTGTCGCTGATATTGGATTCTCTATGTAATATGTTAACTTTCATGCTCTGTGACTTCATCCTCAATTTGTAGCTTTTCATGCATGTCTAATGCATATAACAAAGTCAGCGCAAAATTACCACAACATATTGAAAGTCAGGCTGGATGGTCACGTAGATGGTTTAGATGCTGACTTTGTATAACATAAGAGTGAAAAGCCAATAACTGCAATGGAGAGCTCCTAATCCATTACCTCCACACGCATAGATAGCAATATAAAGCCTATAATGCATTGTCCTTCACATGCTGTTGGTAAAGGACTGTTGTGTAATTGAGTAAAGTGAGCCTGTGGCGCACCATGCGTTCTGCATCGGCATGCACCCCCTGTGCTCCACTGACGTATGTCCCCGCAGCATGTGTGTTTGTGTGTGATGGAGCGCTGCTGCTGTGCCAGCATATTCCTCAATCCGATGGCTCTGACCTGGCCGCCCTTCAGCCCGGCCGCAGCCCTCCAATCCCTTCATCCCCAAATATCCCGGCTTGGTGCCAAGCGGGCAGGGTTAGGGCAACGAGTGAGGCGCGGTTTATGACCCCCTTCGTCCTCCAATCGGGCATAACGCTGTTAACGTGATGGATGGAGTGGCAAGACAGGCACATAACACAATCGCCCAAGGGGGATAAAATATGGCCGCCCCTGCCTGGGCGCCCGAGAAAGGGCAGGATGGGGATTGGAGGGCAACCAAAGGACCATACTTGGTGCGCAACCTTTGCCTGACGACTGAACGGCTGAATGCACCCGGTGTGTCTGGCTCAAGCCAAAATGTGTTTAAATGATGGTGTGTTATATTTGGGGCAGGAATGTTCAGCAGTCAGTGAGGTGATGAGAATGATTCATTGATATGGTTTTCTTTATATGGCATTTCAAGAGCTGAATCACACAAGAGATTCACTCACTGTGGTCACATGTGGCCCATTCATATTTTCATATTAACCAGCTGAAAACTATAGGATCATGTTTATTATATTTGCTCAGTCAAGAGGCAGGAGATCTGAATCTGAAACCCCTGCAATGTATGGAATGTGTATCAGCCGTTCAGACAAGTCTAGTTCCTGTTATAGCCAGCCTTTTATATTGCAATTGCAAATAATTTTGCTGTGTACCACAAAAGCGTGATTCACTAGCGTAGGTTTTGTGAGACATTTTTAATTTCAAGATGGAGATAGTGAGATAAGACCTCTTGCTGTCCTTGCCAACTATAATTAATTGTTTATTGTCTCTTGGTGGTAATTTACCCGTTACACTGTGTAACGGATTGACTGCTGCAGTGAATTGACTCTAAAGCCAGCAGGATATGAGAAATGGCACAGTGAAAGGAGTAAAAAAGATAAAATATGACATACAGTGGGAGAGAGGCAGGAGAAGTAAAAGGAGGATGGACACCTGCTTTAGGTGTTTAGAGAAGTCATTCATGTCTGCTCGTGTAGATTTATAGAAATGAAACGCCTCAAGTGCAATACACTAACACATATGTTATATATGTATATTTTAAAATATATATACAGAATATATATACAGTGCAAGGCTCCTACCTTTTCTCTTTCATCACATGCACAAACTGTATATGTGCAGAAACCTGCATAGAAGACTGATCACCAGAGTCATTGGTGCCAAGGGAATTGACCATTGTTGTCTTGCTTTTTGTGTTCATGTGTGTAAGCATATGTGTGTGCCTGCTTTAGGCTGATAAGAGGATTTGTTGAAGGGTCTTTTGTTCTTTTAAGCAATATTTTCCCCTCATTTTCTTAATAGTTTTGTTTAAGGATGCCATGATTTAATTAAAGCTGTGGTAGGCAGCGTCATTGTGCAGAACTTCCATAATAACCTGTCAGCATATTGTAATTCAAGTGGTTTGAGAGAAAACTATACTTTTGCACTTGGCTTTGTTTTCAGGCTTTAGAAAATCTAGCCCGTGACGGGAGACTTTGGCCAATCACAGGTCATTTCAGAGAGAGGACATTTCTATTGGCGTTTTTCACTGGGCAACTGACTCCTTTTGCTGCCTGTTAGCATTTGTGGGTTTGGTGGGAGAGGCTTAGCTTGAGTGATACGAGTTAACCGATAGAAAGGTTTTGCATACTGTAGCTTTAAGTCTGGATAAGCATTTTGGCATTGGGACATTGTTGGAACCACACTAGGGGTTTTGCATATTTGTGCTCTCTTAGCCACATCCAGGTTGGAAAGGATGTCAAACAGCACTCAAAGTGCTGGGACAAAAATATGAGGCCAGTTAAAGATGCAAGCCTCTCGGGATGCAGGAATGCTATATGCAAATGTTGGCAGGGCTAATAAAACATTTGGTGAAACAGACTGAGATGAAATGGCTTTTGAGCTTCTATTCTGACAAAAACCAAACTTTGTTGATGGAGAAGTGTGTGTGTGTGTGTAAGCATGCGTTCGTTATGTAACCTGGCAGAGTGGAAGTGCGTTAGTCTCTGGGGAGAGATTAGACATTCGAGTGTTGGTCCGGACACAAAGCACACCTGCTGCCAAACAGACACATGTGGACACACGCACATACTGCCGATGGGGTCTATTGCCAGCATCTCAGAAAGTGACATTTAAGAGACCCACAAATAGAAGAACAGAAGTTGCTTGGTGTCTACTTGTGGATGAGAATTTTTTCATTCACAGAAACAATTTAATGCATATGCACACACACACACACACACACACACACACACACACACACACACACACACACACACACACACACACACAACATCATAAAGGGCTAATCCCTCGCCTCATTCACACACACACACACACACACACACACACACACACACACACACACCTCTCACACCCTGACGGCTAGCGGCAATGTTCCAGGTGTAATTATAGAAAGTTTTGCCCCCTGATTACAGCTGGTAAATGGCTTTGACTCCCATCTCTGCTGGATTTCCGCAGGAGGTTTTTCCACTTGTCCAACTAAGGTTATCTAACTTTAATGAGTTTTTCCCTTCCTGCGGCAAAGTGACGGAGTGTGATTGGCTCACCTCAGTGATGGTCTGAGAGCCCCCGAGGGTTAATGTATTGCCCCCCTCCCCCACTCGCTCTGAGGTTTGCTGCTATTGGAGAGCCGGAGGCATGCCTTCAGGTCAGTGCGAGACCTCTGGAGCTTTCAGGCCAGTTGTTACAGACACTTCAAACGCTGTGAGAAATGACCTCAGGGCTGGTGGAGAGTTCCCACTGATCTCAGTGCAGGTGTTCTGAATATGGTGGACACTGCATCAGGGGTAATGAACAGCTCCCATAGGTCTGATTTAAACAGTAACCGGTAACAGCGGGTCATTAAGAGCATTAATGAAGAAAGTGGAAAAACTTTGAAGTCCCTGAAACAAAGTGCTATCTTCCTAATTTAGAGCTAATTTAGGCGTCATGCTGGCAAACAGAAATTCTTTATAGGGTTTCCAGTTAAGAAAGCAGGTTAAATAGTATTTGATGTTATAGCAGTTTCTGATCTGTTCTTTTTGTTTCTCTTAGCCATCATGTATGTGATGGGAGCCCTGGGACCTGCAGCTGGCTACTTGCTGGGAGGTGTCCTCATTGGCTTCTACGTCGACCCCAAAACTGTAGTCAACATCGACCAGAGTGACCCTCGCTTTGTTGGCAACTGGTAAATATGGATGTGCATCTGTATGACTAACAGAAGCCCTTATGACTGTTTCCTGTGTGAATATCTGTCTGTTCTCAATTGCCTTTTAACAGCCCATCTGTTGTTTCTTCCTTTCAGGTGGAGTGGCTTTCTCTTGTGCTCCGTAGCCATGCTCCTGGTCATCTTTCCCATGTTCGCCTTCCCAAAAAAGCTGCCTCCTCGCCACAAAAAGAGGAAGAAGAAAAAGATCAGCTCGCCCGGTGACGTGTCCAGCGACGACGAGATGATGAAGGAAAAGTCAAGTAGCAAAGGCCAGAACGTCTCCTCTTCCATGGGCTTTGGAAAGGACATAAAAGGTGAGGAACAGATAATGAGCCTTTCTTTCCCACCTCTGGAGATATTACAAGTACCTCACATACAGTAAAGGAACTGTGAGCTACTGATGTACAAATGGCCCATAATCCAATCAATGGCCAGGATTAGCCATCTTATCTAATCATGAAAGCTCCACTGACATCTCCTTTTAAAGATGTTATTGATTTGTGATGGATGAGGTTGTTCACACAGTTGACTAATGAAGCAGGTAATTCACTGTAAACACGGGCAATTTCTAGTGGATATTGGGTTTTATTGACTTTAATAAATGAATAGTAAACATGGCTAAAGGTCACATAATATTGCTGTCAGTTGAGGACATCATGTTTAGTTTAGCAACGTTGATTTAAATTGAGGACAGTACATTTTTGACATTATACATCTCAAAGAAACAATCATGCATTTTTCCATTAGAATAAACATTTAAATTACAAAAATTGGAGATGGTGCTTGTTAAACTGCTTGCATGTGTGCACCTTTGGGCTTTTTTATGTCTTCTCTGAGCCAGATATACCAGGAATCTCCTGGTTTTCCCGGGGAGAGCCCTTCGGTTTAACTGAATTGTGTTCCAGTGTTTCCCAGTTTCCTCTTATTTAATTTATTTTCTCTCTGCCAGACAGCTCTCTGTCTCTCTCTCTCTCTTTCTCTCTCTTAAATGAGCTCTCAAGGGAACTCGGTCACGTTTCCACACACTGGAGTAGACTGATTTGGCAGCAGAGCAAATCTGTAGCATACATGTTTGCTCTCTCACTCTTCATTACATACAAAATAACTAAAGTGAATTCGAACATGTATTTAAACAGGTCATAGTCATAAATTCATGTTTATGTGCATTCGCCAAACAAGTCAGAGCAGGATTTAGTCTCAGAGAGCAGATAATGCATACTGTAAGCATGAATGCATTATAGGTTCTTCAGTCGAGTGTCGGCTCTCCTGCTATTTTACTTGTCCCAGCAGGATGTTTTGAGCTGTTGTGCAAACTGTGGCTGATTTTGCAGAGTCGGGCACTTCAATGTTTGGATCTGTAATGTATTTTGGTGCTGTGTGTGTCCTTCTATTGAGGTGTATGTGTTTGTCTATAGCACAAATTCAGCACTTTTTGTGAAAGATATGCTGAACTGAAGTGTATTTGTTTGCCCTTCAGATCACCAACAAACACTGAAAAATGCTAAGGTTGAATATTTTGAGTAATGCACAGGGACGCACTTTTGATTATGGAATGTTTTCAAACCTGGGTCAGCTGCTGTTTGCAAGCAATTCTTAACATTTCTTGGATTTAGCATTTCATGGAATTTTAGTTTGTATAGCTGAATAACATACTGAATACCACAATGATATTTCAATAGCCGATTACTTAGATTAGATTGTCAATTTACAGTTACAATGTTTTATAAAGTCTTCCAGATATTATAAATGATGTGCTATCATCACCCGTCTCTGCTCATAGAGAAGTGTTTTGCAAAAAAGCGTATGGATGAAACAATCCGACAGTCATCAAATAAATTCTCACAAAAAAGTATCAAGTGTGGCAACTATTGCGAGCCAGTGGTCTGTCTGATTGAGAGAGCAGCTGCTGTAGAAGTCAACAGGAACTCACCATCTGTCCCCCTCCAGACAAAATTACAGCCCAGCTCCACAGGAATGAAATAATTAGCGTCACTATTCTACTCATACCTTTTGATCTGAGATAACACTGACAGATGCTAACATTGCCCCACCTACAACAAGATTAGTTGAATTAGTGCTGAGACTGCTATCCCCAAATCAAGGCACCGTGCCACCCAGTTAGGCTGGCCAACAACATAATTACCTCCCATATAAAAGGCAATAATAATCCACTTTACATACTTCCTGACTTTTCTTTTTTTGTTCTATCTTTGCGTGTGAAGCATGGGAATGATAACCTTATGACTGTAAAGTCATAATATTTGCCTTCAGCCCAAGGCTTAAAACACCCCAGACGCACAGAACTGGACAGAACAAGAGATAGAGGAGATGCCAGCTGTGTGCTCAGTTAGATTGAGCTGTCCCCAGCCCAATGTTTTGGAGTCTTACTTTTGTTTCTAAATGAGGCCCTTGACAGATCTGTGAGAGAGTTAAAGAAAAAAAGATTGTACAGAATGAACCAAGTAAAATGCAAAAATATAAAAACCTGAGCATAATGTTTTTAGTTTGAAAGGCTCTAAAGAATGCCTCCTTTGGTTGACATCCTCCCCCATCTTTTATCCCACGGATACAGTAGTTAAGGTCAAGGGTAGACAACACAAAGTTTTTCTGACTGGAATCAGCCCCTAAAGTTCAAATTAATTTAAATAGCAAAGTGTTTAGTGCACACAAGTGACCTCTCTTCTTTAAGCTAAAGATCTTTATTTTTGATGGAAGGACCTTTCCTGGCCTTTTAGATTTAAGCTGCATAAAAAAGCAAAAAAGTATTCTTAGGAATGATGAGTAGTGTCAACCACAGTGTGTCCAGGCTGTCGGGATAACATAACCAGGTGTCCAAACTACATCAGCTTTCTCTTTTTAATGTAGAGAAGCAGCAGCTTGAATCTGAGGTCCCTGTGGATTGTGGAGATCCCCATTCTGTCAAACCTGCTCCTGAAATCTGTTACCTCAGTCTTGTTGAGCTGAATGAGCTCGTATGTTCCAGTGACCCTGAGAACAACCTTGTGTTTCTAGCAAGGACTTTTAAAGCAAACTTTTCAAATGCAAAGCAGCTAGACACTTCAGAAATCAAGAAAACCATCATAGTAACCTTAAATTACCTGACATCTCCCCGACGGACGTTAATACTGCTGCAGTTCTGCTGATTAGCTTGGCAGACGACGTGCAGTTTTATATAACCGGGTCAGCTAACCTCTCCCAAAAATCCAAGATTACTTTTTATTGGATGACAGTTTGTGTACGTGCCACAGTGCATGATGAGATGTCAGAAAAGTAGATGATTTAAAACATGCAGAAATGCTTTTTATATATATATATAATATATATATTTGGGATAGTAGACAGGGTAAAATACATTTTTATAATTTTTAGTAAAAATGGCAATTTATACATAATAATAATAATATTAATAGAGGTGTGAATTGTCACTGATCTCCTGATTCGATTACGATTATCACATCTTCGATTCCTCGATGCATCACGATGCATCACGATGCTTCAAATACATTTTTCTATTAAAGCCATGTAAGATATTTGACTTGACGGAATGCATTAAGATACTGTATAGTTCAATATAAGTTTTCTATATTACCTCATATGGTTGTTTTTATCCAAAAATACAAGTAGTAAGATATAAACAATCTTTTTTATTTAACAGTCTGAACACAGCAGACAGCACGCACACACACACACACACACACACACACACACACACACACACACACACACACACACACACACACACGCACACCGTCTCCCGATCGTGTCATTGGACAGAGACACAGTATTCAGTGTCTCAGCACTTTTCTAACCTATGATTGTGACCATGTCCAATGCTGCCGGAGTATTAGCTCCTCTGCTATTGTGTGATGGTTTTTTGCACATGGCGATGTGGCGGTGTTTGTACGAGGCTAACGGTGCGTTTTTATTTTCTGATGCCGCGCTCACTAAATGACCGGCCTGTTGGTGATACTCATTGAGTATCCGGTGAAAAAAGTCCAGTGGCTTATTGACATAACTGGGGTGTAAGGTCTCCAGGTGCCGTCTTAATTTGTTTGATTTCATGCTGTCCGCTGCCAGAGTTTTTAAACGTAAAACACACACAGCTCTTTCCTCATTTACGACCGTATTCACGGTAAACTTAAAGGCTATGTAGGCTTCGTCATATTTCCTGCTCTTATTAGGTTTATGCCGGTTACCGTCACTTGCTCTGACGTCTCCTCCGTTTTTCTTTTTACTCCTGTCAGAAACTTCTCCATCTCTCCTCCCCCGTCAGTCCCCCCTGCCTGTCGCGCCCCACTATTTGAGAAGTACTGGTCTAGATGAAACGGGTTAGGCTACTGAGAATGTTATTTTTCATAATTTAATTTTCGGAAAATTAACGAGCGACATCATTGCGTTATAATCGATTATGGTCGGCCACTGCATCGATACAGCATCGTCCATGTCTGCATCGTGATGCATCGATTATTTGATTAATTTCAACACTGATGCCTCTATATGATCATCAGTATGAAAACTGGCTTTTTCTATATGGTTATTCTTCATTCCTGCAAACAGATCGGATTTGGTCGGATCCCCTTGAACTCAATGAAACAAGGTGGGAGAAACACTACTACTTTTGTCCACAGGGGCTGCCACAATCAACAACAAAAGAAAGTTCCTTGTTGCTACTTTAAGACTGTTGGCAGACACCTTACAGGCCCAATCTCAATATCAACCCTAAAGCCTAAACTCTGAACCCTCACGGACCTAGCTGACCTCACCTGGTGAGTGTTTGAGTATGAAAGCCTGCAAGGTCTCGATATGATATAAATAGGAATCGGAGAGCACTTTGCAACACTTAAAAATATATATCTTTATTGTTTGTTGTTGTTTTAATATGATTTTGATGGGACTTGTTTACCTTTTTTTTTTTTTTTTTAATGCTTCAGGGTTTCCCCGGGTAGCCCCGTGTTTAACGTCACAGCGCTATGAACTGTGGGTAATTCCCCCAGGCAAAGTCTGCAGAAATGTGGATAAAGGGTTTAAAGTGTCTGCGGCAGAGCACTCATGCACTTGACTATGTGACTTTGGGACAGCACTAAGCCCTCACGGACTTATCGGCAACGTGCCTCAAAGCCTCAAAGTGGAGATTGGGATTGGGCCAGGGAGTTGATTTATCAACAGCTTGGTGGTGTCATCATTTTGAAGATAGCTGTTCAACTCAAGTTGCCATGACAGCAAACATCTGCACTGCTGATGTGCCTGTGTGTAAGAAACTGCACCCCTATTAGCTCCTGTTTGGAAAATGATTCTGTGCTACTGATCAACTGAGTAAAAATGCCTCCTACCCACTTTTGTTTTGTCAGCCAGCGCAAACAGTCAGTTCAGAAAGTTAAAATAATTCTGCCTAGTGACAGTAATGTACTTACTGTTTGTCCACATGACTTTTGAGTGGCAAGATGAGAGGGCATTCTGCGTCATGTCAACCAAATGAATCACATGGACACTGTCCTCAAGCAAGATATAAAGGGCATGTTTGCCCTTGTTATGATGAACCAAGGATGATTTGTGGAGCTTGATTTGTGGGCTTGCAGCAGAGATGCACATGATCTAGTTGCATTGTACAGCAATCTTGCTGCTAGCTATATGAGTTTCTAAAAGCGTGACAGGGTTACAGGCTACAACTAGCATCTGTGTGTGTGTGTATATGTGTTAGTGTTTGCTTCTGCAGTGGTGCTTGAAACAAGGATACTTATCCAGATTTAATGAGACAAGGTTGAATGTGCGTTTGAATGTGAGTGTTTATTACAGTGTGTTACAGAGACATTTAAAGATGGTGTTAACTTCACTCTATTATTACCTAAGGTTATCATTACATAAGGTTTATTTGGGTTACAGATACAGCTTTTTCTGTCTTCCCTTAATTACAGCTTTCTAGTAATGATTCTTCTTCTGATGATTCCATGGAGTTCAGTTTGTGTGGGAGTGAGAGGCAAATTAAGAGACTGATCGTGTGTTAATTACCGCACCACCGTAATGAAGTGCTCCATCTTGTCTTGTCTTGTATCCCTCCCCAGACCTCCCTAAGGCAGCGCTGAGGATCCTCAGCAACATGACCTTCCTGTTCGTCAGCCTGTCCTACACGGCAGAATGTGCCATCGTCACTGCCTTCATCACCTTCATTCCCAAGTTTATTGAGTCACAGTTTGGCATCCCTGCCTCCAACGCCAGCATATACACTGGTAAGTGTGTGTACTGTACTGTCTTTGTTTTTGTTACCTTTTCTTCCTTTTATATGCATATATTATTATATTCACTTCATCACAGCTGTACAGCAGTCAGACATATTCTTGAGTTGTCTGTTGAGTCATTGCAGTCACTGTCCCCTGTGGGCTGCCTTCAAGGATGTGTGTGCCTAATGAGGAATTCTTTACAATATGTTCTGAGCAATAAAATACATTTTACACAGAAAACAATACACATGTTGGTACCATATCATCAGAATAATTTGTGATCTATTGTCCATCAAGTACTTATTTATTAATCAAGTAGTTGTTTCATCACTTAAAAGCACAAATACTGTGAGGAAAATCCGGTGGAGGATAGAGATAATTACATCTTCCTCCTCCGGAAGCTCTGCCATGACTTTCCAGCAGTGAGAAAGAAATGTTGGACATCTTAAATCGAAGAAATTGTATGTTTATTTGCCTATAATGCAGTCATTTCATAGTTAATCAAACTGTCCCTGCAAAGATCCGAAATAACCCAAACTATTAGATCAATGAGGCAAAACTGTCCTTTGCACAGAGTTGATTAGAATGCATTACTTTAGTCTGCAGCATTTTAAAAGGTAATAGATAATTTCTTTATTGCGTTGTTAAACAGTTAGAAAGAAGAAAATATAGTTATATTTGTGACACTTTAAATTTATCTGCATGTAAAATATTTTCCTGAATACATTCTCAAACTATAATGTATTTAGAAAATAACTTTTCAGTTGCAGTGAAAACATTTTTTTTCTATGTTATTTGTTGCTTTCTTTGGGTTTATCCTGTGGGTTCTTATTGTGGACAGGGCGATGATACATCATCGCATAATATATGCACCATTAGTCTGTACCAGTTTGAGCTCACATTTGTTCTCACCTCTCCACGTGCGCACGGTGATTCACTGTCAGACAGCAGCACTATGAGTCATAGAATCTGGCTGACTTTCATTCAGTGATAAGCTTCCATTACATCCCCCTGACTGTAACACACAAGTCTCTGTTGACTGCGGGAGACACATTTATCATAATGTGATAATGTGGACACACACACACACACACACACACACACACACACACACACACACACACACACACACACACACTACCCTCTGCTCTTCCTGTAAATTGTGCATCACATATGTAGAGTGTACAAGGAACCAGTCTAATCCTTCAGTCTTGTTGGAGCCAGTGATGCTAATACACAACTCATCTGATATCAGGATTATTACAACAAGGAGTGATTGAAAAGTCAATTATCCCTGTGAAAGAAAAAAGGTATATGTGTGTATTTATGTGTGTGCAAGTTTTCTGCTGGCTAACATATGGTCATCTCTCTCTCACACGCACACACATGCACACCAACACACACACAATACCTCATTTCATCTGCCTGTTGCCAGGATACAAGGGGTAAGGGCAAACGGGTGTTGCGGTTGCCATGGCTACTCAAACGATGCCAAGCTGCTGGGATGTGATGATGGTTGGAGGAGAGGGCACTCCTGTTGATGGGAGCATAGTGTTTCCACGGGCAACCAGATGGACTGACCAACGGTGACATTTCCCTGATGATTGTTTGTGAGGGATTGTTTTTAGGAATGATCGGAAGACCAGACCGTTATTTTTTTGTGTAAATTAATTATTTTACTAAAACTAAATCTACAGCCATGCTAGCGCCTCTGTGAGGCTGTACATGGACAATCTTTTGATGACAATGTTATCATGCTGATGTTTAGCAGGTATACCATGTTCACCATATTAGTTTAGCATGTTAGCATGCTAACATTTAAACAAAGTCCATTTGAGGCTGCCCAGCACCAAACAACAGACAGACAACGTTAGCAATGAGCAACGGTATGCCAACAAGTTTGTCTTATCAACTTAAAAGGTGATAATAGCCTACATCAGTGCTTGTTTTTGTGGCCAAAAATCAACAAATTCAGGTACTAACTTTATTTAAGATCCAAAATGGAACCAAATGAATGAATGTTTCCGACAGCAACACCACCTCACTAGAAATAAATAGGAGAATAATTGTGTATTTAGAATAAGCAGCAATAGCCACAGTGCCAGGTCCAGAAGGGTGTGTGTATATATAAAGGAAAAGATGTCACAGCTTTGTCTTTCTGAATCTGTAGGAAGCAAATCATAAAAACACAGTAATAAAGAAACCAAAGCTGTCAAAATGAAATTAATGGAAGTGTTGCAAATTACCACCTTGATGAGTGTGTATCATGCCCGGCTGAAGAGCCACCACTGCTACATGCTCATTAGATGTTGCTACAGAAATAGCACTGTAACATATCACACACGCCTCCCTCAGCTGCAGTTTCCCCCCACGCTGCCGTTGCTGCTCTCTGACCGTTTCTCTAACTTTTTCTTTTTTCACTTGGTGGCTCTTTTAATCTCAGCCACTGTTCCTTTCAGACATTTTCCTCTCTCTCTGTGGTACAAACTGTAGTCGGCAATTGTAAGTAGCTAAATGTTTGCCACAAGAATCAGTTTCTTTGATGTAGGATCTCTAAGAGATTATCACCGACATGCATAGAAGTGTGCATTTCTATCAAATAACTACAGAAAAATGACTCGCATTCATGCCAGCAAAACAGTTAATCCAGATAAAATGTGTAAATCATTCATGTGGCATTTAACACTACAGCATACTGTGTATGTGCCTGTGATATGATATCTGCTTTGGCTGTGTACATGTTTAATCCTGCAGAAAGCACAAGGTTTTAGCACAGAAACATGCACTTACAGGATAATATTATGCCACAGCTGTCTGTTGCCCATCTCTCACTGAGCATGCTCAAAGAGACCCTTTTTCTGTCTCTTTCCCTCTCTGTCTTCCTCTTGGTCTCTCTTCTCTCTCTCTCTCTCTCTCTCTCACTCTCACACACACACACACACACACACACACACACACACACACACACACACACACACACACACACACACACACACACACACACACACAGAGGGAGAAGCCAGATGACATTTCTTCATACTTAAATCACTTGTTCTTAAATTCACTCTGTTGATCCTCTATCTTTGACGACCCTCCGCCTCCGCTGACTGACCTGCTCGTTACCCGGCTGCGAGGGCTGCAGCTTCCCCAGGCCTTTACTCCCGGCCGATGACACTTTCCACCCGGCCCATCCTGCCAGCAGCCAGCTTTTCCTTTCTTCATGCTGTCAATTAGACTAGCTCTAGTGGGAGACTAGACTGAGAGCATGTGCCACAGCCTGAAATGACTCACTGGTAGCCTTTAGCGTAGCCTGGTCACACTGATACAGCAAAGAGATTGACATTTCTCTTTCAAGCAACCGTGTCCAACAAGACATCACACAATGTCCAGTCTTTTACTAAGCTACCTGCTATAACTCAATAAACTCCCCACTGGAAGGGTTTCAGGACAAGTACGGCGGATACAACTCGAGTCACTTTATGAACTTTTATTGCGCACACATACACAATAAGCATCCACACACTAGCTTGACTGCTACCGCTACGCTAGCCTGTCAGCTTGACAATTAGCTAGTTAGTTGGTAAGGTAGGTAGGTAGCTAGGTAATGAAATTATACAATCATTCATGTGATATTAATTCTTGATTTGAATTACTAGCAATGCTAGTTTATAGTCACTCACCGGCAAGGCGTACCAGTCCTGACCATCAATTGAATGAAAATGCAACCTAAAGGCGAGCCGCCTGCGCACTGTGACCAAGTATGCATACACAGACACACAGTCTGGAGACCAGGAATGATAATAAAACAAACCTGTAACCTGGTATGATTATAACATATATAAAATATAACATAAAATATGCCTGCATTCGGAATAAGGTGGTAAATGTACACACTTATTTCCTCAAATACCCCAGAACATAATCATAACATCTATCACTTTTAATATATATATATATATATATATATATATATATATATATATATATATATATATAGCAATAGTTACACCTGCTGGAAAGTTCTATTCACAATCTTTCATAAAAGGCCTCACATTTTGACATGTTATTCATGGTAGTGTGCCTGATTTAAGTACTGTAGATCAGATGCCTATTACACTTAGTCAGTCATGCTTTACAGTAATTAATTCAGTGTTAACATTTTTTTTCACAACACAAATAAGCTGCTCTATTTTTGTGCCGTTTTCAACACTTCTGAAGTTTTTCCTCCATCTCAACCGCTCATTCTTTTCTCTGATCTCTCACAGGTGTGATCATTGTACCCAGTGCCGGGGTGGGCATTGTGTTGGGGGGCTACATCATCAAGAAGCTGAAGCTCGGTGCCAGAGAGTCAGCTAAGCTGGCCATGATCTGCAGTGGGGTGTCGCTGCTCTGCTTCTCCACACTCTTCATAGTGGGCTGCGAGAGCATCAATTTAGGAGGCATCAACATACCCTACACCACTGGGTAAGGACTTCCTGTGTGAGCAAGTGTCAGCCTTTTGCATTTGCTTTTTGATTTGTAAGCTCCTTTAAGACTATTAGACGATACTAGACGATTAATATTGTATATATTAATCGTTTTATGTGTGGTACTTAGGAGCCAGGTATACATTTGCTTATGAACTGCTCATTTTAAAGGAGACCTTATTCTGCATCTGAAGTGATATCTGAAATACACACATACTGGAGAAGGGTGTGGGCCTGGGATGCTGTCACTTCTCCCATCATCCTCATGTGTTGTGGCGTTGTGTTGGAGTGCGAATGACAATAATTAGCAACACTGGCATCTGCTCTCGTGGCTCCGGTGAATCACTCTGCCACCTCTATTTCTGAAGCCACCGGTCGACACCATATCAGCAGCCAGGCTGCAGAGTTAACAATCCCATGTGTCAGGCCCTGCGGACAGAAATGCAGAGCGGACGTCTGTTGGCACACACGGTTAAGAACGCACTCAGACAGATGCATAGAGGCACCATGCATGGAGTCACCTTGGATGATGTGCTGCGATCGCTTTACACAACATTTGTGTTAATATCCCATCTGTGTCATGCCAAGTGTTATACACAAACATCAGCACATTCAATTAAAAATTCAAGTTAATTCTGCAAGCATATAGTCTAAGTATTAGACATATAAAGACATACTTTGTACATGGACCTAGAGTGTGGGAATAGGCCAGCCAATTGCACCATCTCCAAAGTTCACTGAACACTGAACACACAAAGGTGAAACTGCTAAACCTCTGTGAAATTTACTTTTCACGTAAGTGCGTTAATCAAAGTGATTATTTGCCAAATAGTCTGTGTGCCCTTTAAAGCCCCATAGCTGACCCATTAGTAACTGTAGTCTTTGTTTAAGCTGGTGTTTATAGAGGGGTCAACAAGATGTGTGAGCCAGTTGAGCTGCTCATTATGAACAGCACTGGTCACTAGTCACTGGTAGCACCCACATGAGGAATGTTTAGCCCAAGCCCACTCTTTGTGTCACTCGTCTGTACTCACACCGTAGTCTAGACGTAGCTGGAGACTATTTCACAAAAAACGACATGACAAACACCAGAGGTTCTCAGCCTTCTCAGAGCCATTAAGTTATCTAATAGTCTTTAATATCTGCAAAAGTGTGGCATGATTATGAGTTGGACCTGTGGGCTTAATTAAAACCTGCTGTGTAGTTAGATTTGACTTAATCTTAAAAATAAAATAAAATCTTTACTTCCTCTGTTAAGAAAATGAGACCTCAGAATTAGTTTCCCATCATTCTCCCTGTTTAGTGTCCGCAGTGCTAAACTTCACTGGGCCACCCGCTCTCTTTGGCTCTCTGTTTGTTTGGGTTTTTATGCAGTGCAGCCTGCACACAGTGACACAACATCTGGAGGCTTCAGTGAAGGCTGGGGTTTAGTCTGGGAAAAAAAAAAGGGCATGTGCAGTCAGTGCAGTGAGCCTACGACTCCAGCAAAGCTGATGCCTGCACACACACACACACACACACACACACACACACACACACACACACACACACACACACACACACACACACACACACACACACTCTCACACTCCCTCTCCCTCACACACAGCGTCTGGAATGTGACACTGTTATGTCAGGACAGGCCCAAAAGTGCTTTCCCTGTTCCAACCAATATGGAAATGAGTATAACTTTATGGTCTTAAAAAATGATGGTCCACTGATTTTAAGAGGTAGCGTAAAATAATTATCATAGAAAAGAATAATTTTTTTCCCCTGGTTGGCAAGGTTTCATTTGTTGTTGTAAAATGTCTTTTTGACTATTGGCAATGGATACAAGCAGCTGTTATATGAAATTATCATCTTAAACACATGATCAATACAAACTTCCAGAAAGGTGTGTGTGTGTGTGTGTGTGTGTGTGTGTGTGTGTGTGTGTGTGTGTGTGTGTGTGTGTGTGTGTGTGTGTGTGTGTGTGTGTGTGTGTGTGTGTGTGTGTGTGTGTGTGTGTGTGTGTGTGTGTGTGTGTGTGTGTGTGTGTGTGTGTGTGTGTGTGTGTGTCTGTGTGTGTGTGTGTCTGTGTGTGTCTGTGTGTCTGTGTGTCTCTGTGTGTCTGTGTGTCTCTGTGTGTGTGTCTCTGTGTCTGTGTCTCTGTGTGTGTGTCTCTGTGTCTCTGTGTGTGTCTGTGTGTGTGTGTCTGTGTGTGTCTCTGTGTGTGTGTCTCTGTGTCTCTGTGTGTGTCTCTGTGTGTCACTCCCAGGCTGTTGTGTTGTTAGGGCCTGTACCCGGTTGTTCCGCAGGGCTCAGAGTGATCCTCCCAGAGAAAACCCAGAACTCGCTTCACCGCTCCCTGTTTACATGAAGCTAGTCCTGTTTGGGTTAAAGCGTCTGTTCCCACACTGCCTGTCAAGTCGCTGGAGGTGTCACTTCCTCAACCTCCTCATCTCCATCCTTCTTTTATAATCACACAACACACAAACTGGTGGAGGGCTGGATTAAAGCTAATTAAAAGGATTATGTGCAGCAGATTATTTAATGAGACATAGAGACTACAGTAAATATTGTTGAGAAGATTGGCGGCCTCGTTTGGCTTTGTATTTCTGCATTAAATATTATTTACTTTGAAAATAATACACCATATTGTCTGGCTCTTTTCCTGCTGAAACTAAGCTAAATAGAGTGATGGTGTACAGGGAAGGAGAGTGGGGAAAAAGAAGTATTACCCTCCTTGCAGCTGGAAGCATTAGGTTTTATGGGAAATGAGGTCTAAAAAATGTGACATATTGCACCATAAATTGTTTTTCCATTTTTCTGGAGCTAAACGGTGTGCTGCTATCCCAGCAGAGCCACACTCGCAAAAGAGGTTGCACTCACACTAAACTAAATAAATGAATGTAGAAAATTAATAAATGCTCCTTTAGATAGTTGAATGACTCCCCTTGCTGACATGACATTACTGTGAAAATACATATCCAAAGTGTGGATTAAAAAAGAAAAACAATCTCGCATTTTAATATTATCCAATATGTTTGCATGCATTGAAATGTGTAAATAAGATGGGGAAAAAAAAGACTGCATGTAAATGGCACCAATAATCCAGCCTTAAAAGCTCACCTTTGTCCCAGTGTGGTCTACTAAATGGATACAATGGGTCTGTCTTGTTCTCAACACACTCTTCTTGCAGCCCAACACTGACGATGACCCACAGGAACCTGACGGGCAGTTGCAACGTGAACTGTGGCTGCAGGATCCACGAGTACGCTCCGGTCTGCGGCTCCGACGGCATTACCTATTTCAACCCCTGCCTGGCCGGATGCAGCACAGTGGGCAATGACAGCACCGGGGTGAGCGCGCACACACACAAACACACTCACTCACTGCACTCATAGCTTCATTGTTTTCCTGTCTCAGTAATAATTGCAATGTCGCCATTTATAAAATAAAAAAGGATTGATGAGAATGATTTTAGAACTGTCCTCAAGGACACATTTATCATAACGAATACACAAAGACCTGTTCTCTGTACATTGTCCCACGGCTCTGAAAGTACAGGAAGTGTCATACTCCACAACAATGTCAGATTGGAAATTATAACAACAGGAGGAAAGGAAATGGTGCCTGTCTGTCTGTGTCTGAATTTACATTACATTACATTTTGTACATTTTACAATGTAGCTACAATATCAGCAGTCTTTTACTGGAATAAGCTTTAAATTTGAGTCTGACTTTAATAAGAGAATTGTCAGTAAGAGTTACTCCCATATGTTTTGGACTACAGATTAGGAACTACACCGACTGCGGCTGTGTGCAGAGCAGACAGGTGATCACTCCGTCCTCCGGTGGCCAGGTCAACCAGCTCCAGCTGGTCATTGTTAAAACCTACCTGAACGAGAACGGCTATGCTGTGTCGGGGAAGTGCGACCGCACCTGCAACACCCTCATCCCTTTCCTTATCTTCCTCTTCATTGTCACTCTCATCACCGCCTGTGCCCAGCCCTCCGCCATCATCGTCACGCTCAGGTAAGGGGACCGGTCATCTGCTAATCGTTGTCAGGGAGTCTAATTTGTCCTCTTTCTGCAGGAGTGAGTCGGTTGTTGGTCTCACTTTGTGTCTCCGCTGCTTAGAAGGCTTATAGTCTTCTGTCTGTGTGAACGGAGTAATTGATGGGAAGTTTTATTTCCTGCATCCTTTTATGTGGACGCTGTGCAGTGAATCTGTATCATTTACGTGCTGTTTCTCCTTTCTCAGGTCTGTTGATGAACAGGAGAGGCCTTTTGCTCTTGGGATGCAGTTCGTCTTGCTCCGAACTCTTGGTAAGTTCCTGAATGTTTGCTCTATGATGAACATATTAGAACCACACACTATGTTTTGTGGCCTTGTGCATTGGATTAACACTATTGTATCTACTTTGGTCAGAACGAGTGGGTTAAAGGTTAAAAGATTTTCAGAAAGCACAAAGGGTAATTTAGTGAAAGTAATTGATTTGTAATAAATGTTTCAATAATCGGACAGTAAATGGCCACCTGAGCAGTTCAAGGATTTGGCACACATCATGCAGGCAGTCACGTTTCATCTCCTTTTTATTGTTGAAGCTTTTCCAGCCGGTCTGTAATCCATTTTTCTAACCCTCTGTTTTCTCCGGCTCTAATTCTGTCTCTTGTCCTTGCTAACACACTGCAATTTTAAAGAGAGCAGGGAAGCAGCGCTGTAATGAACCTCTGTGAACTCTGTGTAGAAAAGTGTAGAAAAGCCCTGAGGGTTAGAGAATGCTGCCCTGACATGCCTGTGATCTGCTTGGTATGGCTGTGTGAGCATAAAGCTGTCACAGTGTGGTTGTACAGCTGGATCTAAAAACCTAGGTAATAAGTTACTTTGTTACATTCATAAAGTTACTAATGGTCCGTTTTTGTGTCAGAGAGATGTATTTTTCTTTTTAAGGCTGTAGTTAATGATTGTGCTGTATTGGAGTCATTATTTTAAAAGGTCTTTTCTATTATTTTGTCCACTTCCATTATAAGGGTATAAGACTGGCCTCTGATCTGCATGAAAGGGTGCCACCAAGTGGTAGAATAAAAGTGCTACAATACAGTCAACCTAATATCATTTTAGTGCTGTATCCCAATATCCAAAATGTATCCAATGAGCTTTATGCAATTTCTCATAATCTAGTGTTTTTGCAGCAAGTATAGTTTGAATCAATGCACTTTACTGTGTTGTACTAACAGGAAATGATACAATATGCATGCTAAAAAAGTGTAAACTTTACAAATACGAAGCTTTCAGAAATGTCATAGATTTAATACTAGGATTTTCCATTTGTTTTGTATTATGCTGCAATAGTCTGTATCAACAGCACCCTCACAAATCATGGCTGTATGGAGTAAACTTCAGATTTGAAATCAAGTATTTCTCTAAAATGAAATAAGCTGAACAAGCAACAAAACAGTCATTCTTTGTTAACACTCAAACTCATCAGGACTGGGTGGGTGTGGTTTGATTTTGGTGACATAAGCCCTTCAAATTACATCACCTTTTTCCAGCTGAGCTTCACCCATTTTGAGAAATGTAAAAACAAACTATAAAAATAATCAGTTAATCAAAACACTCAAATTTGGCACACAATACTTTCAAGGCCTTTAAGCAGTGTGAACACACTGTAGAATTAGTATGTATTTTGGAATTGGGGCACAGGTCATTAAGGTTGTTAATCACACTATCTCTCTGCTCCCTCAGCCTACATCCCCACGCCCATCTACTTTGGTGCTGTGATCGACACCACCTGCATGTTGTGGCAGCAGGACTGCGGCGTGCACGGCTCCTGCTGGGAGTACGACGTCACCTCGTTCCGCTTCGTCTACTTCGGCCTCGCCGCCAGCCTCAAGTTCGTCGGCTTCATCTTCATCTTTCTCACCTGGTACTCTATCAAGCACAAGGAGGACCGAGCCGAGCGCTGGCGCCAGCACCTGCCTCCGCTGGGCACCGTCAGCGAGCTCATCTGCCACGCCGGAGGCCAGAAAAGCCACGCGCGCACGCGCTCCTGCCCCGTGTTCATCCCGCCTCGGCCCGACCCTCCCGCCGCCCTGCTGCTCAACCGCGGCCACAGCAGCCTCAGTTGCCCCGGCAACGCCCTCAAAGCAATAACCCCGCCCATCCTGTTGCCGCATCACCACAGAGGCTCCGCCCATGTCTGAGAGCACGCCAAGCCTCCCTTCCGGGGGTCCATTGTGACATGTGCCTTCCTGTTTGTGTTTCTACACCACACGGTGTCCGCTGTACGCCACTCTGACACCAGACGGGGCTCCGTAGCTGCTGTAGGACTTACGGGCAGAGGCACAGGCGCGGCCACCATCCTTAAAGGGCTGCTCATTGTTGTTTATGATACCACAAGACTCAGTGAGCTTAACATCAGCTGCAGCATCCACGCAGAAAGTCAGACCTCCACTCGAAGGTTCGGACGATGTAAAGACATCACATGGTGCTACTGTTTCCAGAGCAGGGCATTAAAATCTCTGTACAGACAGATGAGTCGTCATCAACACAGCATCTAAAGCACAACTGACAAACCTGTACTATGCAAGATCCTATGTACAGCTCCTCCCTCCTCAGTACTGTACAGCTCCCTACACCTGTACCTCTTTCTTCTTCCCTGCTCAGTTCTCACACACACACACACACACACACACACACACACACACACACACACACACACACACACACACACACACACACACACACACACACGTTACTGTTGGCTCATTCATAATTTCACTTTTGCCTACAGTCTGAGCTGTGAACATATCAGCAATCTGTCTTGTATTCGAGCCATTCCACCCTGTTCTCTATTCTGGTTAATTAATCCTCTCACCTCCTTTTTTTCTTTCTTTTTCGTAACAGTGCCTCTCAGGCTGTCTCGGCCAGTCCAGTATACAAAGCTAGCTACCAGGGTAAATGCTAGCTAGTGAGAAAGCCAGCCACTGTCCTCTCAGTTGAGTGACAATATTCTGCTTTGTTGCCCTCAGCTTTTGTGTTTGGGGAACGGTTGTCACTGAGCTCGAGTCATTGCGCCCAGTGGACACAGTTCCTCGCCTGGGCAAGGTAACTATGTAGCTAAAAGGCAACAAGCACCAACGGTACAGCGTTTTTCTTCTATGACAAGTCGTCTTGTCAGTGAGCAAGAAATCTGTATTCATTACACATCACACTACTTTATTATTACAATGTGTAATAATTAGCCAAACAGGAGAAAGGAACAAGAAAGGTGTCTCATCTCTGACTATGTGCTAAAGCTACTGTTTGTCCAAAAGATGTGAGTGTACTTGAAACTGATAATGGAGTGGAGATTCAACAAAATGTGGCAAAACAGCTGTTTTCAAATTCGACCCACTTTTAACCACAACTTCCTCAAAGTAAAACGATTTGTATCTAATCTCGCGCAACAATCGGCTTTGTATTGTAATGGCTTCTCCATTCTATTGGTCATCAGATGTACATAGTAGTTATCTAGTAGTCTAGGCTTTTAAAAAAAAAAAATAAACTAGTGCGTCAAGCATGTAAAAACAGTGAACCTCCTTTTATCAGCAAGAGTAATCTGACGTTGATTTATTTAGTTCCTGGGCGTTTGGCGCCCTCTAGTGGACAGGGAGATGATTGTGTGAAGGCCAGTGAATGTTGCGGTTTGTCAGACCTACTGTACTATGACATTCTTGGTTAAAAGGTTAATTATTAAACTTAATCACTGCACTGAATTTAGCTCTCCAGTTTCCCAAAGATATACCCGAGAAAAAGATGACCCGCTGTCTTTGACATTTATGCTCGCAAGTCACGTGATTAAGTATTTTAAGATTCTGTCTGCTAGTTCGGTGAAGTCCGGATCAGGTTAACGTGCCTGAACAGAGACACATTGCTTGCATGAGCCTTAACTGTTTTAATAGTTGTTTAATTTTCTTTTACCTTGGGCTCATGTTATTTTCTTTAAGTATCTGATGGATTTACCTTCCTTTGAATAGGGCAGAGAAACAGAAGAGGTGTGAATATGGTCTGTGTGTTTTTTAAAAAAAGAAAAAGCTGTTTCATGTTTAAAAAGTCAAATCTGTGGCACATGTTTTGAAGACCATGTTTGTGTTAGTATTGGTTTTCTTTTCTGGAGGGGGTAAATATAGAATAAGTTTAATAAAGTTATATGTATTTTATATCCTGATCAGTTTTACTTCATTTTAATTATAAAAGTTTGCAAAGGAATGGAGAATCTGATGCAGTGAATACATTTTAAAAGTTAACAGTTTTGGCCAGGATTCATGGTACTCTGCCAGGTGAAGATTATGGAGCAGTAATGGCAGTGACTCATTTTAGTATTATCGTGACTTAGTACCTCAAATGACATATTCATAAGTGATCGTGTAAATATTGACAAAGCAAATGAAGCGTATTATAGAGCTCACACATAGTTAGAAGCATATTTATGAACTAATCCCATAACATTGTAGTTTAAAAAAAAAAAAAAAAAAGGCTTAACACTACAAAAGAACATGGTGGATTCGTCTCGCGGTGCCTGAACAGTATTATTCACACGGGAAGAGTTCGCTTTACATGTGGGGAGGGAGTTGGGTTATTGCAATGTATTTTTTTTTTTTTTTCTGTCAACAACACACAATTGACTTCATTTAAATTCTGAAGTTATGCTACCCAGAATGCCCTTCTCTCCATCTGTAATGATTCTCTGCCTTTCCTCTAGTGGTCTGTATTCCTCAGGCTCAGAAAGGGAATACCAATGTTGGATTATTGATCAGGTCGCCTGCTAATGTGACTCGAAATCTAAATGTGATCCTTCCTGAGTCATCTTACAATTATGTATTACTTAAGGAATCCTGTTCTGATGAAATACCCAATGAACATGGAGTAAAAATACATGAAGGAAGGGTGGAGAATCATCCAGTGATGCCACACAGATTATTACACAGTGAATGCAGGGACATCTGCCTTTACTGTACACCTACTACAGCGTCCTGCTGTTCCAATGCCTGAAAGACTACTGACAGATGATTTCAGGTTGTACGTAGATTTGCTTTAACACATTTTCCTTTCATCGGTATTTGAACTGAAAGTGAATTTCCTGGACAGAACAGAAGCTGTATCCTGAAAGTAGAGCTCTTATTGCTTTTGTTCCTCAGGAGCAGAAGTCTAATTGATGTTTGTGAACACTTGGTTTACAAATGCCTTGAATACTTGATATTTGTCATTAAAAAAAAATGTAAAAATTGAGTCGGCTGATTTGAATGATTACACATTGTTTACAGTGACATGCAGTGGTACAACAACACTTGAGTCCAAAACATCGCCCGGAAGGTTGAAAGAGTTTATTTCAGCTTCATGGCTTTCCTGAAACCAGACTTGTTCTAACACTTCTACACACACTGTCAAGAAAGAAAAGGACAGCATCAGGTTTTTGCAGGTTTTCTAACATCTCAGTCGCTCTTAAGAAGCACCAACACTACAACCAACAGCAAAGATGAACTACTGGAAGAAAGGTTAAACATTTTGCCCTCGATGGCCCTGAAATATTTAACTTCAGGCTACATCTGAGTGTCTCACTGACTATACCGTCAGACAAAGCTGTAACAGAGTGTGCTGTCATACTGAGTTTTAAAGGACTATACAGTTCACATTCTAAATGCACTGGCCGTGTGGGACACTATACTCTGGATTATCAAAGCACTACATCATACACCACATGATTAAATTGGTGATATTTCCCCAAAAGTTACACAATGAACATTTTCAAACCCCTGGTGATCGTGTACGCATTTGCTTGTGATTAGGCAGGATACTTTTACTCATGTTACAAATCAAACGCTGTGAAAAGTGACTCTACAAAACAAACAGAGCTGGTACAGTGGTGTAACTAATCCGTAAATAGTGTATAATGTGTTTTGCTGCGGCTGTATTATTCAGTATATTAACCGTTTAACTGTGAACCGTGATTGTCCAAATTGTCTGACACTATTTAATGACAAATGGCAAGAAGTTAAAAATATTCCCATGCGGCAAAATAAGAAAACAGATGTGCATTGTTGAATCTGTAACTTTTTCTGGAGTGACAATCCAGTTTTAAAAAGTATTCATAAAATCTGATTTCACAATGGACACAACTTTCATATCCGCAAACAAGTGGAGGGCGAAGGTCATAATGTGGAAAAGTTCAAAAGTGCATTTGGGGTCCAATGTTGCCTTTATATACAGTGGTGAGGTGGTAGTGTTCTGATGGAGCGTCCTGTGATCCATACATCCTTTAAAGGCTGGAGCGTACCTAAAGCTGACTGATGCTAGCTACTCGTTCAGATGTTGAAAAGGTTTCACCACTCACACTTGTTTTTCATAAAAAACATATTAAAAACATCAATGGTGTTATCCATATGGAATAAATCATTTTTAATACCAAAACTTAAGTTTAGCTGCATTAAGGCTTTTTCTTTTCTAAATATATATTTGAAGAAAAAAACATAACACTGTTTACTAATAAATGTAGGCACCTGTAAAAAAATAAACAATAACTTTAATACTCATTATACAACTCTGACTGACTGAGGTGGCATCACTTGCCATTGCTCTTGGCAAGCTCATCTCCTAATCACTGTGTCTCTGTGTCTCTATGGCGACCGGCAGCTCATTGGCTGGCTGGCCAGCGCGTGCGTCTGCCTTAGAGGGTCTGATTGGAGGGTTGAGGCAGAGAGCCGCTGCCCTCGTAGTCCAAGGTGAGGGGCAACGCCGCCTGAGGCAGCACCTGTAGTACCACAACACTCTGCGGGGTGCTAGTCTGTGTGGTGGGGGGGCTCCCGGTGGTGCTGGCCTGCCCCTTGGGTCTCAGTGTCTGTGGGGAGAAAGGGAGGTAGCCTTGGGCCTGGAATATGTCCTCCTCTTCTTCGAGGTCCAGGCCCAGCCCAAGACCTTGAGGGCCGGTCTCCTCTCCGTGCAGGCTGTTGTGAGTTCGCAGCAGGTTGTCGTGTCGTGTCTCCAGCTCCGTCAGTCCGTTCCCGCTAAACAGATCTCCTTCCATCTCCTCCAGCTGCTGCGCCCACACGTCGCTACTGAAGATAACCCCGTCTCTTCCTGGACCCGACGATGACACCGTCACCGGTGACATTACAGACACCCCAGGTCTGTTTAAAAGCCTCTCAGGGAGGTCATTGACAACAGATCCCAGTTTCCGTTCCAGTGTGGGCTTGGGTGTAGGGGGTGCTGGTGGCGTTTTGCTGGGGGCGGGGGTGGTGAGGCGAGCCTCTGTGAGCCAGACGTCGCCGGCCAAGGCTGAGTCTTCTCCGCTGCCTTCTTCAAGGCCTCCACCCCCGGCCCCGGAGCCCAGCTCTGGCAGGGTGGAGTCGTCAAGCTCATGGGTTTGGTTGAATTTATTTAAAACGTGTAGCAGTGCAAATATATTATCTACATCCTTCTGGAAGTTGGCCCAGTTGTCCGGACTGGGGCTGTACTCAGGCCTACATTCATAAAGGCTTTCGTTTATGCTATATAGATCCTCCAGTCCCTGCCAGTTCACCTCCTCGTCTGTCAAGTTGGGTAGTTTAACCCTGTCGTCCGTCCCATATTGGTGGTGTGCTGCCAAAAACAAAGAAATAGACGACTGTAAGCATCTCAAGTACAAAGAACAGGGAGCTCTATTCAAGTTTACTCAGACAACATGCAGTCATGCCCAGCCTCTGGCTCTTACTAAAGTAGCCAGCTCCATGGGGTCCGAGGCCCCGAGCAACACACACACAGACACACAGACACACAGACACACAGACACACAGACACACACACACACACACACACACACACACACACACACACACTTCAAAGCAGCATTAGATAAACTAGATAAACACAGCACCCACACTAAGCTCAAGCCATGAGTAGTGCAAACACATGCTGCCTTAGAAATTCACATTACAAAGACAGACTGAAAAGAAAAAAAAATGATGATCATCTTGATAGACTAACATACTGAGCTGCACAAGAAAAGAAAAAAAACAGAATGGCATAGTTAATGATAAGCCTGGACTGGATTGAAATGCAAAGTCAGGCAACCTGAAATAAGAGAACTTGAAAAACAGAGGAAACAAAAATGTGATCAACAAAACAAGAAGATGCTCAGGGGAAAAAAAATAGGAAAATGAGTTTTGCTGCTGAATGGTGTATCCCCACCTCACACCAAAAAAATAGGGAATTTGAAATCCTATCAGAAAAAGCAGCAGATAAAAGGAAATCATAGCAAAGGCTAAAAGAGTTTGGCTCAGTTAGATGTCTGCAGGTAAAAACTGAGGAGAAGAAGCATCAGCGCCACTTTACGCTGGCTTTCTTTGTGAGATCAGCTTCTTGTAACTACTGCAGCTAGAGAACGGAGATGGTTTGACAGAGGCTTAGGGACTCACAGGAAGGAGAGGCTTGGTCTCCTCTTTGACCACTTTCGATGCTGCTGTTGCCTGGTAAGCAGGTGCCAGAAACGGAGGTCAAAAGGGCAGAGGTCAGTGGGAGGACAGAGAGGTCACAGCAACTCAAATGTCCACTCTACTGTAAGCTAATGGCCATGAGCAAAATATGAGAGGTATCTGAATGTAACGTTACACTAATGTGATGATGACTGTTTATTTGTGGATATGGCTGGTATATGATATGATATTATGAAATGATATTAAAGGAATAGTTCGACATTTTGGCCAATTTGCTCATTTGTTCCCTGCCCCGAGAGTGAGAGAGGAAAAACTGATACCACTCTCATATCTGTCTGTTAAGTACATGTACGAAGCTACAGCCAGGATTAGCTTAGTTCAGCAGTGGGGAAACAGCTAGCAGGACTAAAAAAAAAAAAACTAACAAGATATAATATGTTAATTAATTAGCTTTTAAGGTTTTGCTAAGCAAATTCCTGCCAGGATAAGCTAACTGGTTGTTGGCTGAAGCTTCATATTTAACATACAGACGATAGTGGTATCAATCTTCTCATTGACTCTCAGCAAGAAAGCAATTAAGCTCATTTCCCAAAATGTTGATTTCATCCTTTTAGTTTTCATGTACAATGTGATGCATGAGGGGGGATGATACAGTATCATGCATTGTCATTCACGTGCACTTGATGCTTGGGTAGGTCTCAAGTAGAAGCACATATTCAGCACCTCCCTATACAACTTCTTAATTCTTATTTAGCCATGCTATCATAAGAATAGCTAAAAAAGGATCAACTTTTGAGTCTGTATTTCAACTGCTATAAACGTTGCACAAGCAAAAAGGTGTGAAAATACGCAGCAGAAAATATCTGAACTGTTGATTATATGTTTCAATAGCTGCAGACTGACATTACACAGCAGATACAAGCGAAGGCAGATGGTGTGCACAGAGGTGACAACAAATGAAGCTGCTTTAATGAGAAAAAAACACATCATCTGTTATGATTTGTTAGCGTGTTCCCAGCATGCAGCCACAGATTAAGCGCCAGCACTCCATGGATGGATGTATTAGTGGGAATGAGGCAAATCGGCCCATGCAGGTGTTAAAGAAAAAAGCCACTGAAGAGAAACAAAAATTGGTGGATACCTGTGTGGCTCATAGCTTCCTCCATCTTTACCTCCTGATCAGAAAAATAAGAGCAATCGATTGTTAATGCTTTGATTCAAGGAGATATGGGAGGGAGATAAATAGATCATTCACACTGAAGATTTCTTCATGCACGGCTGCTACTCCCTATGGAGAAATGCAATTATTGGATGATCAGAATGAGGAAGGGAGGAATGAGGAGAAAAGAGATTTGGGTTTGAAAACAGGGAGAAGTTGTTTGAGAAGTCATATGATTGGACTGGATGGATGAGGATTGATCAGAATTGAGTTGTATGTTAGGTGTGGAGTTCAACGGGGTTTCCCCTTCAAAGCAAAAAAACACACACAAGGGTTATCCAGTCAGGTGATAAACTCACACTGCGTAAATAGATGCAAGTGACTGCTAAATCTATTTCACCGGGCAAGTTAAAATTCAATAACCTATTCCTCCAACAAAAACATCAAAACGGCAATTTGACTGGTTCACGATGCTGGCATCACAACGAGCAAGGGCAGCCAGTACAAGTAAGAGATTTTAGGCTGCTATGTGACATGTGTTGGCATGGTTTTGACAAGTCCAGCATGCCAGCACTGAAACACAATCAGTTTTCTCAGAGCAGCTTGGCCGCTCCAGTGCTCCACTCTCCAGCTGGTAATTACAGACATTAAGTTTTTATCCCCAGGACATAAACAACGCAGCCAGTTCGTGCCACACACGAACCTTACAGGCTTTGGTCATCGTGGTTTTACTTATTAACCACCTCCATCCCTGGGATGTCTGCTCTGTAAGGATGCTTGGACCATGAGGTGGTAGTAAAAAAAAAAAAAAACTGATTATAGCAGCGATGCATGACGGCCTCAAATAAAGTGACAGCCTCAATTGCTGTGATGACAGCATCCTCCAAATAATATCTTTAGCACAGTGAGTCAGAAGGAGGACGATGGCCAGGACCTACAAATGTAACATGGGCTTACTTTTACTGTAAAATACTATTCAAAACGCTAGAACTCAAGTGTGTGTATGTGGGGAAAATATTCCAGCAGAGTTGAAGGTCCTCGGCTGAGAAAGAAAGAGAGGTCAGAGTGTGTTCTCACGTGTCATCATGAATCAAATATTGAACACACATCACACACACACACACACACAGGACTCGGTGATGACTTCTGGACCTCCACCTGAAATATCGGCACATGTCACTGAGTGGATCATCCCCAAACACATGCAGCATGCAGATATGTGCACACACACACCACCGAGACTGAAACAGATTCAAAACACAACAGAAGACCACGACTGAAAGAGTCAATCCCCCCCCCCCAACTCAACCTAATTAAAATTTAATCATCTGTTCTCTTCACTCTAATTCTTCTGTTTGTAAAATCTGTTTCAGTCATTGTTGACATAACAACTACCACTAAACCCAGTGTAACACTCCACATAAACAAACTTTTTAGGTTGGTAGGAACAGGCTGAAAATGAGCATTTTTACCTGTATCCAAGCCTTTTGGGCGAGGGTTACACTGCTTGAAACCTTGACAACTCCTCATCTCCATCAGCTGGGCGTGGAGAGAGTTCAGTACCTCCCGATCCACTGCATACACCGCGTTGGTCAGCTGCACAGGTAAAACAAACACAAGAAATTAACTTTCACACAGAAACTATTAGTTTGTGCTATTTTGAAAATGACTGTAGACAGATGTTCACCCACCTGGTAGGGGTCACTGTTGAGGTCAAAGTACTCCAGGAAGCCAGTGGAGAACTCGCAGAACAGTGTGTTGTGGGTCTCGTTGATGGTTCTCAGGCACCAGTAGGTGTTGTTGTTGGAGCTGGTGCATGCACAGAATCCACCCACTAGACAATAATTGAGAGATTCATTGTAGTCAATTCCACTGCAGTTACTAACAAATATCTTAACAGGCCGTACAAATATGAGCTTGAAGTCAATATACATACAGGACCAGAGAGGAGCAGTCTGCCAGTGGTCATTGTTGTGTGTGAAGCAAGTGAGGCCAGGCAGGCTACAGTCGTCTCCCTTCCTCTGCCGCTTCTTTTCTTTTCTTTCCTTCTTCCTTCTGCGGATCTCGTTGTACAACTGGGCCTTCCCGTCGATTTCCTGTGCAGCCTCCCTGTCGGACAGGAACGTGAGAGAATTACAAAACAGTGCGATGCAAAGATGACATCAGCTCCTATCCTCTTTAATGCCAGCAACCGCAGCGATGGAAGATCTGGAGGGGGACTTCCAGAAGGCACCGGCGATGCCAGGATGTGACAGTCTGTTTACTTTCATGTTTAAGCTCTCGCTATGTCCAATTTTCTCTGGGATGATATTCTAGCCACTGTCCCCCTCTTCCTCTTTGCCTGAACACAGAGCAGGCACTGAAGAAAAAAGCAGCTGCTTTGTATTGGCATAATCTGTTCCCAATGTTTCCTGGTGCAAGTTGATCACTGTGTTTGAGGGATTGACTGATTTCCCCCTCTGTTGAGTCATTCTATCTTTCCATGCGACTCAATCACTTCCAGACACGCGCGCACACGCACACGCACACACACACACACACACACACACACACACACACACAAAATGGGTCCATAGCCATACATCTGCTTTGTCATTTAAACTCCATTCAGTACAAGGGACACTGAATGAAAATAGCTAGATAACACGCTTATAATAATTCGTTTTTTTTTTAAGGCCACAGTACACACTCAAAACACACACATGCTGGTTGGTCATCTGGGAACTACAAAGTCACTTAAATGAAGGTGAACTTTATGTTTAAACGTGACATGCAGTTAACATGCAGATATTCAGTGACAACAGCAATGTACAGTCAAACACCATTCTAAAGATACAATATTTTTCTATAGAAGTTGCAAGCCATGGTCAGTATTAATTAACAAGGCAAGGGGTGACACTAAATGGCGCATTAAAGGGGAAGAGAAAACTCACTTAAATGGATGGAGTTGATCTTTCCTGCTCTTCAATCTTTCTGCCTTGTTTCTGTCTCCTTTGCTATAATAGCTGGTTTTATAAACAGAGAAAGAGACTAAGTACCAGACAGAACACTTTTTTTAGGCGTGGACTCCAATAAGGGTTTTGCATCACGTCTTAAAGAAGGTATAGATACCTAAACAGTCTGCATAGAAATAACATGAAAGACAGAATTGCATTTTGAAGGTTATATTCAAAAGACTAACCTCTTCTTTCCGCAGTCGCACTCGTCTGGTCGTGTCCTCTTAAGATGGCCTCTTACTTCCCGGAGGTTTTTGATTTTGTCTTGAAGTGCTTCAATCTGGGATTAAAAACGCAACAAATACTATCAATAATCTTTGATCTGTTATGACAAATCATTGACCTTAAGTGAGTGCCGGGCTTATGGTCTGAGTTTCGTACACTCACCTCCTGGTCCACATAGCTCTTGTGGTCTTTCCAAGCTCTGGAGGACTGGTAGATTTCTCTTTCACAATGGACACTGTCATTCACCAAAATAAAACACCTGAAACAGATGCAAAAACACCCGTCAAACACTGCTCTTTTCATCACGGACATACTGTTTATATGTATTGTAAATGAGATTCAATTTAAAGGGAGTCTGTCTTCTTACTTGTGGGTAACTTTCACAGAGTTTGCGTATCCCACAGCATTGGTGTCATCTGCCAGCATTTCTTCTGAACCATCATCTGAGCCCAAATCAAACTCTGTGCCCTCGGGGGTGTAGTGACGCTTTGAGATGACACGGCGGCGGACAGCTGACTGATCATCTGCTTGAAGGTCAATGTCATATATCTGACCTTCAAACTCCACAGACAGAGACCTGGTTGGCCGGGTGTGGACAAAACGTGGCCGATAACCTATTAAAAACAACAACAAAACAATCAGTCAACCAATGCTTTCCTGATCCCATTTTACTAATTTAGTATATTCATTGACAATAACTCTCCAGATAAATCAAACCCCATTGTCTGCCTTTGAATGTTCTGGATATTAAATATAATTCTTGGGCCATTTCTGGATTTTTAATACTTCAGTTGCACCTTTTCTAAACAACACTAGAGGGCATCAAACCATTCAAAACCACAATCTCAGCAGCACACATACACGCACAAGACAACATCCACAGAACAAATTGCTGGACTTGTGCAGGATGTTTGCCTTTTCTGTGCATCTGTCTCCCTTTAGAGCATAAATAATCCATTACAGGAAATCAAGCCTCGAGCCTTTACAGACGTCTTTTTCTTCAAATGGTATTGAGAGACAGACATCAATACGATGTTATGAGTTAAGAAATGGCTGGACGTTAACTGAAGCAGTCTGCCTATGCTAGATCCCCTACTGTTAAATTGAAATAACCACAAAAATCCTACTTGAATTCTTATTTGATGAAGAAATAACACATTCGTGTCTACTTACGCTGGCCAGATGAGAGCTGTCGTTGGGAGCGGCGGTCCGATCTGGAGGGTTTAAAGCCAGCGTCCCCACAGTCACAGACCCTCTCTCTGTTGTCGTAACTGCTACGGGGCCTCAGGCTACGGGCCCTCTTCCTGGAGCCTTCTTTTGAACCGCCTTTACACTTCTGTATCCTCCATTTCCCTGTGATCTCCTCTACACAATGCCACTTCTGTCAACAACAACCACAAGCAGAAATAAACAAGGAGAAAAAGTATTCACTCAAGTTTTTCATTTCGATGTGTAGATTTCTAGGAATTTGAACAATCCAAAATATCCCTGATCTGTATCTCTTTTGGAATGAACCGATTTTCTGGTTTTGCTATAGATGGTACCAATATCTCAGACAAGACTTTGTTTTGATGTGATTTTAGAAACTGTTGAGAAACCCATGCTTATGACATATATATCAGGAAAATCTCAGTCTGTGGGAAAGAATGGCATCCAAAAGCAGCAGGAAAGATAAACCAAAACAACCACATGCGATGAACTGGGCCTGTCTGGTGTCTAGGAAATAAAGTGGAAACCCCTATCACTCTCACACTGGGTATGTCTGTGCCAAGTGCGTCACCAGTGTAATTGTGTAAATACATATCCACGCACTTGCCTACATCCTGCGTGTCTTTCTTGACATTCATTCCCACTAGGAAAAGAAAGTTGAGGCTAATTTCTGTGAGCAGCACCGCTGCTTAGGTCTGGTATAAATGGAAGAGACACATCTGCAGAACGCAATACAGACGATCAGTGGTGAGTGTGGGAATGAGGGTCCAAACAAAGGGCCATAAGGCAGATCAGGTTTCTTTTTGAAGGCTCATATAGTGACGAAGACCTTATGGGCCAAACAGATCTGTTATATCAGTATTAGAGAAACGGAGAGAACCGAGGGAGAGAGACAGAGATGTAATGTCACTCAGGGATGAAAACAATCTGTCTTTCTTTAACCTTTTCCCTCCCCCTCCCCCTCCCCCCTGTGAGTGCTTTTAAGGCAAAACAGTACCACTGGAGCAGCAGAGATGGATGAGAAACTGGGGAAGAGGAGTGGTAAGAGTAAGACCCAAAGTACCGCAAGTCACTCACACTGTCATGTACCCTGAAAAACATACAGTAACAGAGGTTTCTCCATGTCCCTGGTGAGTAAATCTGTGTACCCACAACAAACCCATACCGTTATCACATGATCGATTCGGAGGGACCGCAACGGCTCTGTGACAAAAACACAATAGAGGCTGTGCTCTTATAAATTTCTGGTCTGTCTGAACCAAAATCGTGTGGTCATAGTCGAGAGGCAGCAACTTTTACAGCTTTTCAAAAACAAAACTTCTCTCATTTTAACCTAAATTGAGTTCAAGGCTGAGGTTTAATGTCCTTGTTGAACATCCCTTTAACTACTTCAATACAATGCCACAGTTTGAGCCAAAGATTTCTGTGACAGTGAGGTGAGTCAACAGAGGAAGAGGAGCAGGAATAAGAGAGATGAAGCACTTGCCTGCTGGGTGTAAGTACCACCCCCCCTGTAATTTAGTAAGACATACAAAACACCCCACCCCACTGGCTTTCAGGCTACTCACTGGGAGGCCATGTTAAATCATGCCAGACGGGACCTTTATGACCAAATCTTATACTTCTTGATAATGCAGCTATACATATGATGTATACTGTAAATGGTTTTATTTCTACACATCTTTTGTGCATTGATACAAGTGCACACGCATATTGTACCCACTCTCACACACTGCTGAGCTCGACTAGAATTGGTCCATCGCTGTCTTTAACAACTGACTGTTATATACACACATTTATGTGAACTGGATCTGGATTGCATTAGTCAGACCCTCAGAAACCCTGCCCATCATTTAACACTACCTGAAACTTGTAAAAATTTGTATTGTTCTGGTTTGTATGTAAGGCCACATACTGTAGTACTTGGATGTTGGTCTGCCAGGAAATTAATTGGCACAGATGAAAGGGAAGTACCAACAAATGAGTACACCACAAAACAGTGCAAAATCCTGTTATGAACCAACTGATGTACTGTAAATGACTATTTAATTTGAGGCTCTGTGGAATAGTTTAACAGGCATAGAGGTCACTTCAAGAGAGGTACTCATTACTACTACTGTACAAAAAGAACTGAAGAAATTTTCCTTAGTGGATATTGGGGGAACTCATTTCTGCTCACAAAAGTTTACAGAAATAAGCTGTGCACATGGGCGTGTTTATTTTACCTGTCCAGGCTGTTCGCAGGGTGTCTGGAATTCCGCCTGCTGGCAAGTCTCTTTGACCTTCTTGTATTTGGGAAGGCTGTTGGTGTGCTGAGTGTTCACTGAGTCATCCTTCTTTCTCAGGATCTTTCTGCACAACACAAGTAAAGAGAATTAGGAGGAAATTAGCATCAACAAAAGGACTTATTCAGGGAGCAAATACACTATTAAACTATTAAAGTATTACTGGATGGCAGTGAGCGGAATTAAAGTTTTATTCGCTTTAAGAGTTTTCTGTTTTTTACTTTCTGTCATGGCCACTCCTGTGTGCTTCTCATGGTCATAGCCAGTGAATGGATAAGTTATGTAGCATCTGTGTTGTGCCAGAGGGTCTGGGCATGGAGCTCAGCTCAGCCTCACACCAGTGCTCAGCTCTGGGCCAAGCTGTTTGACCTTGGCTTGGCATCACGTTCAACTGCCCTGCCCCCTTCTCCACTGCTACCACCACAAGGCCTGGCTGAGTCCCTGCTAAGGCAATGCCAACCACCTCCCATCCCCTGCTCTATCCCCAACTCTCTGCCAACATGGCATGGCTGCTCGCGACACGCAGACAGAATGACGGCGACAACGAAGCACAGAACAACCTGTCCCCTATAAGAGTAGGGCTGTTGTCTTGTCTGATCCTGTATACCACTCTGTTCCAGGGGAAAACAGCCAATGTTCACACACTGGCTTTGGCTGTAGTCTGTTGCCTTCAGCCAAGGGTGATTAAAGAGCTAACAGTTGTTGTCGATGTCACTCCCTGATGGCTGCATTACGTAGGTGATTGGATTCCCAAACAACATAGTCAGTCCCAGCTGTCAGTCAGCATTTCACAGGCTCAGAGGTACAGTACTATAAGGTCATGTGAGGATATGAAATCACAGAGCGTATCACATGACCAGTGAGAGAACTGTACAAAAAACATTAGCTACTGTGTCTGAGTGAAGCTACATCTGTGCCTGAGTGACAGAGTGAAAGGTCTGTGGAGGCTAATCTCAGCCTTTAGAGACAAGCGCACAAGCAGACAGCCTCCTATAAACAGTGTGGATTAATGGAAGAATGGATTAAAAGAGCTAAAGCCCTTAAAAGGTCAAAGAGGTCACACTCTTTATTTCATACACAGCAGTCCACAGACCCACTACTACTTCTGTCAAGCAAACATACGCCAGAAGGAGAATGATCTGCGTGCGGGGCAGCAGAGCTAACTAGTGCTTATTTTACATTCTTGGATATGTGTCTGCTGATGTTGACGCAGTCGCTGGCAAATGAGCAAATTAGTGGAAAGGAGATGGGAGGGCCAAGCCAGCGATTTGGAAAAAAATAGGGATTGTGAGGAAATGATAGTGGGGGAAAAACAGCAGCTGTACGGGAGAACATGACATACTGTAATATACAGTATCATTACACATGCTGCCAGCACAATCTGGCCTCAACCAGTGTTACTGTTCTCCCCCATTCATTTTCCTACCAATGCCCCTATGTCTTTCCTTCCTTATTTACTTAATTTGAACCTTTTTTTTTTCCTTTGGCAATCTGTATCACACGAAGACAAGCTTGATGGGATTATTTCTCTCCAAGTTGTCAGGTTTCTGTCAGTGTACCCCTGGCATTAACACAGCTTAACATGCTAAGTGAACAAAAGCCGGCTGTCAGATTGGAGGTATCATTTTCTGCAACATATATCTGGCAGCAGAGGAGAGGTTAAATAAAGACCTGACAGGGTTTTTTTGAGAGAACATGTACTGTATGCGATCGCGTGCACTACAAAGAAAACAGTCTTGGGGGAAACAGTCAAGTGTTGGCTATAGCATGGCTGCTGCATTCCACACTGGGGGAGCTGGTGACATGTCCTGTGAGTGGATTGAGTTTGAGCCTTCTAGCCATTCCTCAGGTAACATCATCCTGAGACTGGCTGGCCTTTGTTTATTTTGCGCGTGTCTAGCTCTACCATGTTACTGAAATGTATCTTCCGTGTGTCTCCGCCAGCGCAGGAACAGCAGGCTAAGTCAGGTTTAGGGCCCTGATTATGTGCTCAATATATACAAGACCCTTCGGAAGACAAAGGCTCAGCTTGTTTTTCTTGTAAATGATCAAATGACCTGGTTACGCATGTGTCAGCACCTCTTGTGAACTGTCATAATTTGCCAGCCGCTTATAGCTTTAGCAAACAACTTAGAATATTTCAACCTCTTCCACCGTCAGTGCCTTCCAAGCCGACTGTGGTCAGGAAATGTCTGTCAGATAACAAATAACTGGGAAAAGCTGCTGTGTTGCTGGAAGGGGGAACGTGCATTGAGCCTTGCAGATTTCGGGTTCATTGAAATGTTTTGTCAGGTTTGTGTGACACACAATGCTCTACAATGACATGGATGTGTCTGTGGTGTGGAAAGGGAATAAAGAACCCCAGTTTACCCTCGCTCCACCAGGAATGTGTCCCTCCAGACTTTGGGTTTCCGGTTGGGTTTGAATCTGGAAAAACAAAACGCACAAAGTTTATAGAATTCATATGGCCTATACACTCAGCATCAGCTACAGTGTGTTGGGCATTCAGCGAGCCAACATTAGGTTGGCTAGCTGAATGTGTTGTTGTTGTTGTTGTTGTTGTTGTTGTTGTTGTTGTTGTTGTTGAATGTTGAACACTAGCTTTTTGGGCTCTTTTTTTACAAATATCTAGTAAGGGACAATTATTTTGCATTCACATTGGACACTGTTTGTACTGTGGGTTTTACTGGGAAAACAAATGATTCAACTTGCAAACAAATTCTACGGGAACCTTCATTAGAAGAACCTCAGTGAATCCAAGCCAAAGTCCTGCAGCCAAGGAAAATCCACCAAATTGCCCTGAACCCACTTTGTGCTCAGCTGGAGCAAAGCAATTATTTTGGCTATGGAAATTTGCATCTGCTCAATAACGGCAAACGAACAGGACTGTTGCACATATCATGTACACTGCAATTACTGTACATAATATCCATTACAGCATGGCATGATGGATCCATACAGACCTATTGCCAGTCCTTTCTTGTTCCAGCAGCTTAAGGATGGACTTTCCATCCATGTCTGGAGGGGTGTCCAGCCCAGCAATGTGAAGGATCGTGGGAGCTAGGTCAATGTTCAACACCAGATGAGGATTTCTAAAGAAATACATGCAAGTTTACTTAATCTTCTGAAATACACACAGTGATAATAAAAAACAAAACCAAGGAAACTGAACAAACAAGGGTGAAACTTCAGACGGAGAACATCAAGGTACACACAGTACAGTTCTTTCTTGATCTTTTACATGTGGATTCGATATAATTTGTAAGCAAAAAACTGAATAATGTGTTTAGTTGTTGCTTGGACTTACACTGCTCCTGGTTCTACATTGGGCCCTCTCAGGAAGAATGGCACACGGATGTCAAAGTCATAAGGCATTGACTTGCCTTTGACCAATCCAAACTGACCAATGTGGTAGCCATGGTCTGCTGTATAGATGATGTAAGTGTTATCCAGCTCTCCAGTTTCCTCCAGCATTTCATACACCTGGGAAGTAAAATCAGTGACGATGAGAAGATAGACAACAGACTTACCCAGATATAAAAATCCTTTAATAGTTACACTTACCTTCTGCACTGAGTCATCCACAGACATGAGTGTCTGCAGCCTCTTCCGATGCAGGAAGTTGGTGAATTCCATGTGGATGGGTCTCATGGGGCCTGTATACTGCATGATCCAGTGTTTGTCCATATTTGGGGCATAGTTGTAGCTGGGGGTGCTAGGAGGGCACAATGGAGGGAGAGAGGAGACAGGCATATGAAAAAAAACTGCCTGTATTTAGAATTAATAGAACATACATGTTTTCTGTGTGCCTGATGAAGTCGCATAGAAGTAAGAAAATATTTATGGATGTTTGTCTAGAAGTGAGTTATCAGAGCACGTAACAGCTATGAAGACCCCATTTAAGATGCCAAAAAACACCTGTCTGCTACTTTTCACAAACTACTGCTCAGTAACAGGTGCCACAGTTGTCTACTGCGTTTGACACACATCAATAGTTGCTCTGTTTGTTGAAGGAAACCTCTTAATAGTCAGCAGCCAGCACCTTAGCTGTTTTTCCACACCTCTCTTCGACCATCTCTCTCCTCGCACAGAGACGAGAGTCTCCTTGCTCCACTGCGCTCTTGGCACAGACAAGTCATTTGAGGGTTGGCACATGCTTAAGAAAATAATAGGCCCCAAAGTCAAGTTTGCAACAACTTCTGGACCAAAAACCCAATAAGTCATGGTCATTTGAAATGGGGGGGAAAAACAAGAGTGGCAAAGAGAGCAACAGGGGTTGAGAAGCGGTTTTGTTTGTGAAGTTATAGCTAAGAGGAGCTTTTCACCAATCTGCGGTATTAGTTGTAAAGCAAATGAGGGAGATAAACAGTAGACAAACATTTGAAGTTGACTTTGTTTCTCGCAAGATTTTTGCAGTCCAAAGCAAAATAGTAGATGAATTATACTACAAGCATGTGTGCAAGTTAGCCCCAGAATCTTTGTTAGTCAGTTGTACAGTCTGTAATGTTGGAATGTGATGTGACAATAACCAATAATGTCCCTTTTACTATGAGTAATTCACTCCTAAAACAAACCATAAACAAACAGGTTCCACACCTGACTAAGCAGCCGCTGGAGAAAGTACCAAGACTTAGATACTTAATGAAGACCTGCTATGGGAGCTGCTTTGCTCTGATTGAGTGAGCTGCCTTCTGCCCTCTTCCCTTCAGGCCTGCTTTGTGAGAAGGGTGAACTCTTCACCCACCTAGCCAGGCGGTCTAATAAGCACCACAAAGGGACCTGTCTCTGGGCAATGGGCCACCAAGGTATGGGGCCCTGGGCACCAGGGAACCAGGAATGCAGAGGTCAGTGGAATAAAACCAGTCCATAGTAGAGGTCACACCTGCCACCTGTCATATATAGGTCATGTTTTGTGGTATTAGCCCTGGATTACAGCAGCCCAAGGCCTGCTGTTCACCCCAGAATGCCTCCTGACCTTACAAAACTTAACATGGACACATCCCGCATGAGGATTAGTGACATTCCCTAAAGCAACTTGTTGAGCGACGACCAGAATAACTTCCATTCACTCCCTGCTGTAAAAAAGACATGCCATTGAGAAACCGCAGCACATCTATAGTGTTTAAAAGAAGTCAGGAGCTTCGCATACATCTAAGAGACAGGGTAAAAACACCTTCAACTGAGGAATGTTAATGACATTAACATCAAACTCTCCCCTGCTATTGTTGCTGTCAAAAGTACAGACACTCATTTGATTTATGAGGCGGCTCCTCCTTTACTGCCACGGCGTCTCTTCCCAACTCTGCACATTACGAATTAGAGGTATATGGCATCTGCTGCAAAGACAGAAAGTGGCAGACCAGACAGATTTTCAGTCATGTCTTCCCATTAATGGATGACCTTACCAGGTCCTGAATAGATTTTGTTAAAAAAAAGGTAACCAAAGCCCCTTGAACCCACTCAAACACAAAATGGAACAGTGTCAAAATGTTAATTATAAACAGTTTCACAACATCTGCCAGAGAAAAAAAAAGTCTGTTATAGACTGTAGTCAACAAACACCAAAACAAACACCCACCCATACCAACCAGCTAACCACACCAGATATTCCACACATACTGCACCTACACACAATCACTGGGGCAACCCCTTTATCCATCCGCGGGCCTCAGTCCCACCCCCTTCACCCGGAGGCTCGAGCTAAAAATAAATTAATAATGTCACAAAGGGTGTTCCAGAGTGCACAATGCATTCCTCTCGTCCCAAGAGCCGCGGGGAGAAACTACTGATTGATATGGACAGGATCAGGAAGTCCTTTGCGAAAATTCACAGGAGGGGAGAGGTGGGGAGAGCAGCAAGGGATGAGAAAACAGAGACAAGACACTGGGAGACAGAGGGAGAGATAAACAGAGAGACAGGCACAAACAGAGATATACAGATAGAGCAACAGAGCAAACAGACTGTGGGGAATGTTAAGTGGATAGAAAGTGAGAGGAAGGATGTGGGAACTACTGAAAGCACTGGGAAAGAAAGAGGAATATTGAGCAGAAATGGCAGCCTTGAACCCTACACCTACTTCTAGAAAACACCATCCCTCCCCCGAACCCAGTGGACTAGTGCATCCTGGGAGCCTCTTAGAGGGTCCACCAAGAGATGGCAGGGCATGTTGCCATGGAACACTATTGCAGCAATGCCTTAACTCAGCAATGGGAGTTGTGTGAGGCCGATGTGGGCTTGGCATGAGAGAGTGCTCTGTAAAATAAGCCATCCCTGATCCTTCTTAATGGTATGTGCCCCAGCTATTCTTGGATGATAAATCATTTTGATTTCACGCTTGCCGAGTCGTCGGCCCTAGCAGCTTCTAAGCAACCTGTCATCACTGGGGATTGAGGGGCGTGAGCACTGTAATAATGTTAGGTACACCAAATCATAAAAACTCAAATTGGATGCTAACTAGAAAAATTCCATATGGCAGCAGATGAAAGCTGCTAGAATGTCTGTGTATATAATCTCTAAATAAGGGGCCTAAACATTCATTTTTCATAATTTTACAGGGTTGAAAGTCCAATGGAGGAAGGATGAATGTATCTGTTTGATGTATGTGTGTGATAATACAAGCCTGAGTGTAACTTACATATGCTGTGAAGCATTTGGGAAGTGCTCGGCGTACTGTGGAGCCGAGTCCTCTGGGCCATGAGGAGCAGCGTGACTGATGACCATCATCACAGGACGGTGAGGGTACATCCGCTTGGAAACGCGGAAAAAGTTGATGCTGTCATTGGTGATCAGATCTGTGAAATAGTCCTGGAAAAAGAGAGCAAATACCATGAATAAATTAGAGAGTTAGGTGCTGCAGGGCTAAAATCCCACGGAACTGGGGAAAAATGCAAAACAATACGAGCTTTGATAAAATGCAGTCCAATCACTATGACATGTTGCCTTCCCTCGTCTAGTCATTTTCAAATAAATGGAGAGGGGCCAGTGGGGATATGAACTGGGGGCATTGAGTACACTACACTACCAATCTGTCGAGTCAACAGCTGGCAGCTTGCCTGTGTGTGTATGTGTGCGTGTCTGTGTGTGTTAATGTGAGTGTGCGCTTGAGTCTGCGTGTGTATGTGTATACAGTATATGGGCTGTTGCCTCATCAGTGAATCTCTGCACTATTGAATGTGACACCACTTGATGGTGAGAGGAGCCTGGCGCTCTGAAATGGTATGTTGTTATGACAGCTCCCACCCCTCTACTCCTCTCCCGGCTATCCATTCTCCTCCTATTTAGCTTAATTTTATTCTATCCCTTTTCTCTTAACATATGTTTACTTTCCTTCTCATTGATTCACTCTGGGAGATAATGGAACACACAAATCAGGCATAATAACCACAAAAGATACAAGCCTCAGGCGGTACTGGGGAGATGAGCTGGAGTGAGTGATGACTTGTATACAGGAGATGGGAAAGAAACAAGTTCCCAAAGACTCTGAGTGCTCTGTTTTTCAACTTTTAGTGGCAAGATTAACTTCCTGTAAAGAGTTTAGACTCAGGAAATGAGAAATTGTCACATCAAAGAACCGACAGGCATGACATTTTATCAAAACCTTTATTCTAGGCGCGGTGGCATCTCTTTTTTTAAATATACGGTAGGTCACACCCTGAACTAAAATCACAATAATGTTTGCCAAGTTTCCAACTGTAGATTAACCATTCTACCTGCAGCTTTGGCGTGCCACTGTCTGGCATACAACATGCGGAAGGGAGTGCCAGGTTCAGAATAAAAGGGTAAAGGGTGATTTCCCTGAAATGTCAGAAGTGGGTTTGGCTGATTCATTCTGTCTCTATTAATAGGCTTTATAGCCAGGCCAACTTTAATGGCCTGGCGGCTGCACATGCCCATGGAGGCTGGCAAAGCATCGCCATACTTGTTTTCTCTGTTACCAACTCTCGAAAAATCTGAGCCACTGCTGCTAAGGGTTCTGGCGGGTCAAAAGGAAGTGACAGTGTCATGGGGAATACCTTGCAGCGATAAATTGGTCACAGAGGTCAGGAGTATCACCTTTCCCAGAACTATTTGTAGATGATGAGTATTAAGTGGCAGTCACATAATACAAACTCATTTACACATGGTTTAATTCCCGAGTGACATTCAACTATTTAAAATGAATATTTTAATATTTTAAGTTTGACTGTCAATGCCAACAGGGCGTTGTAGCTTTGAGGCTTTGAATTTACAAGATTTGTACATGAGAAGTTGTCTATTCATTTCAAGCAGCTTGATCTCTAATGGGTGGAAATTTCTGTTAGCACTGATGACACCAATGTATCACATCTGGCTTGCAAAGCAGGCTGCTTTTTGTCTTCATGACAGTTGACTTCTGTCATGGAATTTTTTTTAAAAAAAGGGGATGAATCATATTTTCAGGCTAAAGCTCACACAAAAGGTCTTTGACAAAGGCCTTATCCTCAATGAACTCATCCTCCTACAGATGGAAAATCAAATAGGAGCAAATTGAATGAAATCACTGGGCAAGTGCCTCATATAATCACAATGACTTGGTGTGCCAGCTGCATTCTGTGTGGAATACATGACCTTCTCACCCTGTTTGGATCTAAAAAGAGGAGTTGTGTTTGTCCTAGTGGTAACAGGTTAAAGGGTTTTGGCAGTAAATAGCAAATAGTGTGTCCATTTGGTTTTAAACCACAATCTACTGACCAAGCCCATGTCCTGTAAACACCTTGGTCTCAGCTTGCGGGTAACTTTACACCTCAGTCCAAGTTGGCAGAGGAATAGCAGTCCAAACATTTGTTTGCCCATCTTTTGGGCAGGCCATCTTGAAACTTGACATGTATCCAAACTATAAACCCTCCTCATGGATTCCTCATGTACCCTGGACTACGCTACCTGGGAAGATATTGGCATAGAGCTGCGAAAACAAACTGACAGCTCTTACAAAAACATTTAAAAGGAAGATTGATGAATGATGCCATCCAGAGCCACAAAAACACAATGTAACCACAGTGTTCATCTCTAGAGTCGGAGAGTGGTAAAGTGAAATTTCCCCTCCTTTTATATTGTAGCTTATTATAACAAAAAATCATTCTGTAAAACTTAATAGGGGGACAAAAAGAAAAGGAACATGGTAGACAGTCAGAAGGAGAGACAAAACAAGTGCAGGGTGGCACTTATCAAAGGCAACATTGGCTTCTCATAAAGGTGCTTCAATTTTACAGTGTCTAAATGTTGAGGTAAGGCGCATCATAATAAAAGGATTGTGCAGAAAGAGTAGACGCCACCTAAAGTCAGCTCATTCCCTTTAATTCTCGAATGAGAATTCCTGTCAGCCTGGATCACAACATTGTGATAATTGAAGTGTTTCACTGTCTGTATTTATATGTGGATTGAAACCTGCAATTTGTCAGGCGAATTCTTTATATTAGGTCATAAAGGGAAAACAAATGAGTGATTGAGTTAATGGTCCTTTTTTGGAAATGATGGGAACACATACCTTGGAATAATCGGCACCGTGTTTCTCCTTGTAACCATTCCGACAGACAGTGTAATTATAGAAGCGGGAATTTTTTATCAATCCAACCCATTCGCGCCACCCAGGTGGGATGTAGCTGCCATTGTACTCGTTGAGGTACTTGCCGAAGAAGGCTGCAGAAGAGAAGGAGAGATAAATGAGGGTTTTCTTTACAGGTAGTCTTAGGCCATAAATGTACGTTTTCTTAGTCAGCTTTTTGCCTGTGAAGATCTCAGTTCTGTGCATCGGTGTGACTTTATCTGTGTGTGCGAGTATGTGACGCATACATTTTGCGTGTCTCTCTCTATCTGGCTTCACTGCACAGCATTCTCAGATGGGCTGGGCAGGGAGCCAGCGGTCCCAGAGAAAGCTAATTGCAGACTAACGCATCAGCTCGAAAACCGCAGGCCGTGCTGCAGCCCACAGGACCCCACTGAGCTGCCCAGTCCAACGCCTGCCCATCACTCACACAGACACTGTCTGATGGGACATGACAGCGACCTGGCACGCTCACTGTGTTTGCATTTCTCACAGCAGACAGCCAGGCAGGGCGGTGGAGTCTAGCTTACTATAAAAATTGACATTGAGTGAAAATAGAGAGGCCAGCAGGACATTTGAGCTGGCAGGGATTGACAATATCTTGGCAAAAAGTGAGATGGTACCCAATCATAACCTGAAAAATGCAATAATTCCATATTATTATAACAGGCCTTTAATGCACGTAGAAATGTGCCTATATATGTGATTGCATGCGTTTGTTCACTAACCTGTCCTGTAGCCGGTGTTGTTGAGATAGACAGCGAATGAGCGTGGCTCATGCTGAGCTTGCCAGGAAGGGGAGGAGCAGTTCTCGTTGTTGGTGTAGGTGTTGTGGTTGTGGACGTACTTGCCCGTCAGCATGGAGGACCTTGACGGGCAGCACATGGGTGTGGTGACAAAGGCATTGGTGAAACTTGTGCCTCCATCTTCCATTATCTTGCGGGTTTTATTCATTACCTGTAGAGAACCTGGAGGACAAGGTATAGAGGTCAGTCCTGAGTGCTATAGTTTCACTGAAATCATAATTTTGTTACATGCATTTTTAACACTAGAGAAAATAGGTTATGTCAATATACTCCATGACAAAAATTTTTTTCAGAAATGAAAATCACTTTTTTCAACATATAAAATGATAGTCACTTGATTTTCATGTTGATGAACACAGTTCATTCTATTTAGATCACTTGGCCTTCTCTTACTGAATTCTCTGAGTGGCAAATAATTAGAATTCAGCAGTTAATAGGCCAGATGGCCATTCGGCTCTGGCTTATGGCCTCTACTTAATATTTCATGTGTGGATGAAGACCACATACATCCTGATGCAAATACCCTCAAAGACAAAGCAACTGATTAAGATAGCATATTCCTCAGCACTTCATCATACAAGTTTATATATTTTTTATTTGTATGACTTGATATGATAAAGGTAGCATAAATTATAACTGAATTTCTTTAAACAACCCTGTATTGTAAATAACTCAATAACTTTGAATCCTTGTATTTAGAGAAGAAAAGAAAAGAAATCACTTATATTATTGTAAGAAACATTGTAAAAAGTTTTCTTTTGAATAAGGAAAAAAATAAAATAGGGCCCATAGAATTCCAGGAAGACCAGGAAGGGAGCCAGCCTTACCCAACTCAACATCCTGGTCGTCAGTCATGATGAGGATAATGTTGGGCCGGATGTTTCTGCGGTCTCTCTGGATGCGACCCCTCAGGCCCTGAGCCCTGGTGGTGATGAAGGCCCAGCTGCCTGGAGCCCAGTCCAGAGACAGCAGGGCCAACCAAGCCAGCCACTGTATCAGCATGGTGCCTGAGACGACAAGAGACGGGATGGGTAGATGGGAGGATTAATGGAGAGATGAAGGGAGGGAGACGAGGTCCAGCCAGGCCACTCACTCACACCCGTGCAGTTCTCACAGCTGTGGTCGACTGTGAAGAGACAGAAGGACAAAACACAGAGACATTACAACAAGGAACACAGGGAAAAGAGATATAAAGTGGGCAATTTTAAAGTAAGAGAGAATGAGTATTGCATTTTATTCTCATAAAGAAAGTCAGAGAAAAGCCTGAATTCCCTCTAGGAACATTTAAGCATATTTACTTCAGATAAATTGTGTGCATCTGGTCACAAATCATACTCAAGACAACAGTTTATCCATAAACAGAGAAGCCAAAAAAGATTATTCCGCGCTTTAGCCGTTGATGGTCCACCAAGGAAAACATACTCAACAGTTTCAACATATGTTGCGTCCTGACTGAAACCCCATCAATACTCTCCCGTGAAAACAAAATCCCTCAACATCAACTCTCCTGACCTAAACCAAAAAAAGAAACACAGATCTCACCTCAGAGAATCCCATAAGTCTCATCTGTTTAGTCTCCTCTCATATTCACCTTGTGCTTTTTCACTCTCTCCTTCTGTGTCAGATAACACACACTCACACACAGAAAAACTCTCTATCACTACTGGAGAGCTGTTTTTAAGCTAACTGTGCCGAGACCGTGCCATTGGCTGTCCGCACTCAAACACCCACAGCCACTTTCCTGCATCAGCCAATCATGGTCCACCTTCCACCTGTCACTCAAAAGTCACCCCCTGGTGAGTCAAGCGTGACAGAGGGCCGGTGGAGAGGATGGGACCACACTAGGGGGGAGGGGGTTAGGGGGCACGGGAGGCGGAGAGAGGGTTCCGCTACATTAACCCCAGTGCCACTGTCGCCAATCACAGATTACCACTGAGTCATCATAGCACTTTGCAGCTTCTTGCTCACTTACAATGCCACGGTTGGTCATTAAAAGTCTGCATGCTCTTTGCCTAAAAGCCAGGGAACAGTGTAAAATGTATACTAGCGCTAAGCTCAACTTCAGAAGAAGATAGATATAATGCATGTCACCAAAAGAGAGATCACACTTTATTTCCAAATGTTGATCCATTAATCCACCGTATCCTGACAAGATCAAGTGCATAGGACAAAAATGTAAAGATGATTTAAATTAGCAGATAACTTTCAGTGACAATTATATGTGTGACAGAATGGCTTGTGGCTGTGAGCTGAACTATGACGCTGTAACAATGAGTACTCCATCATTGCCTGTGAAAAAGTGCCTTATGGACAGCAATCCCACTGAGTGACACCATACTGCTCGCTATTCTGAGTTAATGGCCTGAAAACAAATGGCAGGTCTAGGACACCTGAGCCTGGACAAACCTCACTGGGTGGCTCCACCCTTTCCACAAAGGTCCAGCCCCCACAGGCAATGACACAAAACTATAACCTAAAATAAGTCATCATTTATAGTATGTGTCTCATAATGGCAGAAGGCACACTGGAGAAGTGTATCATTGTTTTTAAAAAGGTGAAATGCAAATTATGTTTGTCAATAACGCACTATGCTGGTATGTGGCTTTAGTCTTTTCAAAAATGTTGCATATTTACTTTTACTATCATGGGTTTGATTCAGATTAGTGTTAATGGTTGGCTGACGGTAGAGGATGATGAAAGAATGACAAGATGGATGAGGCCAAGAATAATATATACTAATGACCATCAGTCCTTACATACTGTATCATAATGTTTATTTGTCCAGCTACCACAGGTATGCACACATAAACACAAGAAAAAGCCTACATCTGCAAGCACTTGTTCTCATTGATGTGCTAAACAGATGGCCATACATAAGCTAACACAACTACAAATGATCTTATACAATCATATCAAATGGGTGAATAGTCATGTTATTTCCCTTGTACTGTATTAGTTATCTGTTTTCCCTCCAGTTAGATGTTATCTGTGATAAGCAGGGCTTCAGATGGAGCTTTAAGAGCACTTTAGTCTGCCCTGCGTTTCAGATGAGCAGTGTCCGGGCCAGCCAGCCCAGTCATCGTGACAGCCTTGTGCAAACATTGGCGCCGTTTGGACAAACACCCCTCCAGCGCAGGGTGGCAGAGTGCACAGAACCTCACAGTGAATTGCACACACACACAACACAAACTACTGTACAAACATATGGTGACATGCATAAACTCATAAGACACTCACACACAAGTCATTCTCTCACACAAAAACAATTCTCCTGCTGTGAGGGTCCAATTCCTCCTACATGAAATGGGAAAGCTTCCCAGAAACAATAGACGCAGCACAAATCTAGACAAAACTTAAGTGTCTATTTCTGTCAAGCTGTGGAAGACTTGAAATCAACTGTAAGACACTCAGCCAGCTAGTGTAATGTTAGCACCCAGTGCGAATTCAATTTAACATGCCAATGGTTCCCAGCAATAGCCTCTTCATGCGACTTAGAGAAGTGAGAAAACAGACAAGAAGGTTCATTGTGGAATCTGATACAAACCTTGTGGTGCTGATGTGGTTAACTATAGTGGTATCAATAGCTACACTGTCTGAAACAACTGAGATGGCAGGGCTAATAATGTGCCATGCATAACGACCAGTGGGATGTGGACCGAGGTTATGCTGGCAAAAAGACACAGCTGCTGTCCTTTGGGTTACCTCTCATCCTAACTCAATTTCAACCGATCCACTTTCCTTGCTAGGTCATTTGAAGTTCACTTATGACGAAAAGGATCCCAGCAGCTCTGCGTCTGCCAAACACACCCCTGGATCACTTGACAGCTGTCTATCTCAAAGTCAAACCTCTTCAAAGAAAACATCACCATTTTTTTTTTATTTTCATGTAGCATCTTTAGTAACCTGACTACGTGTTAACATGACATATGGAGCTTTAAGCTGCTAGAGGAAATGACCAGCTAAGTGACAAGCCAAGTGTCTAGAGATGAGCAGCTGTTGTTTGTAGAGCAGAGGTAGATTGATGGCTGGCAGTTGGATGGCAGTATTAAGACCTATGGAACAAAAACAGCAAGTTTCCTGTTCAAATGGAGAAAGGAAAAGTAGAAAACAAAAATAGTAAAGCACTAAAAAAAAGCCTAGAAAAAAAAGTGCTGTAGAGCATTCCCATCTGCATGGATGTAAATACATACACAAATATACATAATAAAGCCACTCATAGATTGTAACTGCTATAGAGGAGATAAAAAATAGACAAATTAACTGCACAAAGAATAAATATAATCTATTAATAAATATATATAAAAATCTACATCTGTTCCAGATTTGAAAGTTGGAGAGTATTTAAAGTGTGCAGATTAGACTGTTTAAATACCTCTTTAATTATTCCTCATTATCAGCATTAACTGCATCAGATTAACTGAATTAGATCAGTGTGTTCAAACACAGTCACTTCTGAGTGTTTTGTTTTGTACACAGGCTTAAAAAAGTGTTATCCGGAGTTCTTGCCCTCAGGCCCCTTTGCACACACGCAGCAGGGAAGGTACCCAGTACCTCCCACTGGATGTATTCAAACTGAGGCAGCTCGTACGCCGTAAACACAAGACACAATATGAGCAAATGTGCTATAATCTTTAATGTTATTATCCAGTTGGCTTTTGAACCTCCGCTCTGTTATGGCTACTGCTTCTTATGCCTCCAAAATGCATTTTGCCAATTACATGAACCCTTTGAGAACTGTGAGAATAATGTTTCATGTCATTTTCATAAACCATTTGAATGAGTAATTTATTTATCTCGTCTAGCATGATATAAGTAGAACAAGCTTCTTCTATACATCTGTGGAACAGACAAGAGGTCTTTATTCCTGGACAGAGTCTGGGGACTAGGGGGCACATTTTTTCTACGTCCTCATTGTTTTGGAGGATTAGCACTAATGACCCTTTAAATGAGCCTTTACTGTATTCATCATGGTTAAGCTGGAAGAAGAATATTGGGGAGGGATGGGAGGAACGTAAAATGCCCAGGGGTTCAAAGGACTGGAACAAAAAGGCCACTATGGAGTTTTCAGACACACAGCTGCCAGATACATAAAAGATGTGCAATTTTCAGATTAATGGCCATCAACACTAGGGACTTTTAGCACACCTCAACACCCTACTAATCTTTACTTTCATGATTGTAAAGTTTTTTTCCCCTACTTTACTTGGAGAAAACAGCTCTTTCACTTACTTTCCTTTGGCACATGCAGCATTGCTCAGTGATTCGGTATGGCTGCACAGACAGCTGTGCTTTGTGCACAGAGTAAAGCTGAACATAATAGAGTTGCTGCTTGTGTAACCATTCAGGGCAGTACTCTTGGCTGGTTGGCAGTTGTGCCCTCCAGTTAGGGCCTCAAACCACACACCCTGCTGCACCCCGACCCTCCTCTGACCTGAGTGGTAATATGGCTTTGATGGTGGCTTGTTTAACCTAACCTCAGCAACCTGAGGCTACCCACACACAGGGGTTAAGAGGGGAAACTCTGAGGGAAGAAAAAAAATGAGTGGAGGGGGCTCATTGCAGAGGTATAAAGGTAACAAAAGTCTTGTAAAAGCCTGGTTGTGATTGGCCTGCATATTCATTTCAGCAATGGCAAACAGGCTGCATCTGGCTTGGGTTCTTTTCTGTCAGCAGTGGCAGCCTATGCATTTATCAGCTGTCACTGAAAAACAGCAGATGCACTGAGAAGACACAGAAGGGAAATATTCTGAGAAAAACACACTGATTGACAGTCATGAATCCATGTATCCCTTTAAGCATTCCTCTAATGTGTGTCTGCCCATGGACTTTGAATCTTATTTAACTTAACATGGAGTGCTTCGAGGTGAGGGGGTTCACCTTCCCAAAACAAGATGCAAGTCAAACCCAAACCAGATGCCATTCACCACTAAAGTAAAATCAGTCATTCATAAAAGGCCCTTACTATTAAGGACAATGGCCATTTCAAAGCACATCAAATCCCCTCTTATTCCTGTCCATTCTCTCTCTTGCCCCCTCTCTATTTGCCCAGTCCATCTCTAAGGCAGCCAAGTTACAGAGGAACAATGGCAAAGAGAGGGGAATTAAAGTCTAATGGCATAGTCTGAA